GGTTCCTTACTAATTTCTTGTCTCCTCATGGTCCAATTAGAGAACTGAAATGTCCATCAAGAGGGCTAATTCTAATTGGTTTCTGGGTAGCAGATGAAAAAGCCTTCATACAGAACTACTCAATGTAACACATGCACATGATACCACCATTTTTACATTTCTATTTTTGTAGTTAAACAATGATTGTGTTAATGTTACTTTGTTTTTAAAAATGTTTGCATTTTAAGGCACATTTTAAATCAATGACCAAAATGCATAAAATCTTTAACATTTTTAGTAGACAGAGAATTTGTGTTAACTGAATTCAACTGAAGTACATCTAACAGCTTTTAAAGCGACCATTCAACAAGAATTCAAAGTCAACTATCCTTTTTATGCATGCATATTTTATATTGATTAAATACGCATAAAGATGACCGAACAACTAATTATTTACTAAATTTGTATCATTCATTTTGCACAGGGGATTTCAAGACTAGCATTTACAGGAGGAAGTTGGTAAGTTAAATTCCAACTGCACAAAGAGTTTTACATATTGTTTCACACACTTCAAAACATTTCTGACTTTAGATTTCTTTGTACTTGACTCCCAATTTCCTAAAATGGCATGCAGTATGTTTATAATGTACATGCACAAAAATAATTTTACACAGCACAATAAATATACTTACATTTATTTGTAAACCACACAATGCATTATAACCTATTATTTTATTCAATGTGTGCAAGAAAACTAATGCACTACTCAAAGTTTACACTAATGCCATTTAATTATGAAACTAAAGCTTGGCAAAATTAAGCTTGTAAATGGCTTAATAGTTTGTCAAACAAACTTAAAATAACCCTGTTCCAACTCAAACAGCAAATGTGTGAAACGTTTGCTGCCTTCAACATGTTTCTATGCTGATATGCTGACACGCTAACTTCAGACATGAAATGTTTAACCTGTTTAAAGCCATTCGCTCCCAATGGTAGCATTTGTGACCGAAGTGTGAGGTATTAAAGGTAATATAGAAAAGCTATAAATTTGGCACATGTAATATTTATGTCTATAATGAATGTGTTGTTGTATTTTGCACCACATCACTGCACCATTTTGAGTTGAACGTGTAAACCAAATTCAACTGAAGTACATCTAACAGCTTTCAAAGCAACCCAATTCATCAGAATTCAAAGTCAACTATCATTTTAATTAATGCATTTTTTTCATATTGATTAAAACTGCATGAAGATGCCCAAACACCAAATTATTTACTAAATTCATATCATTCATTTTGCACAGGGGATTTCAGGACTAGCATTCACAGGAAGAAAATGGCAAGTTAAATTCCAACCACACAAATGTGGTTTTACATATCTTTATGCCAGTATGTTTGTAATGTACATGCACAAAAATTAATTTTACACAGCACAATAAAACTACTCATACAGTATATATCCCAATATCTGTAAACCATACAATGCATGATAACCTATTTCATATTTAATGTAGGCAAGATAACTAATGCACTAAAAGTTTACACTAATGCATTTTATTTACGAAACTAAAGCTAACTAAACCCAATCACCCTGTTCCAACTCAAACAGCAAATGTGTGAAAACGTGTGCTTCAACATGTTTCTATGCCGATATGCTGACACGCTCACTTCAGACATGAAATGTTTAACCTATTAAAGCCATGCGGTCCCAATGGAAGCGTTTGTGACAAAAGTGAGGTATTAAACGCAATATAGAAAAGCTGAACGACTATATATTGGGCACATGTAATATTATGTCTATATGAATGTGTTGTTGTATTTTGCGCCACATCACTGCACCATTTTGAGTGGAACGGATCGATTAAAATGTCAAAACAGAACATTCGCATAACTGTATACACCAATGCGCTCTTGGAGATGTTACAGTACCTTTCCATTCTAGTAGTCATTTTCTATATCTGACACCAGTGTCATATTTCTGAATACCAGGAATAAACACGCATTTCTCTAACTTTGAAGAAACAGTTACAGTCATTTGTTTAAAAAAAAAAAAAAGCTTAATATACGTGTTTGAATAATTTACCAGTTGGCTGCAGATTCTCATACGTACTTCAGAAATGACCAGTCTGATATGCTGCACTGTTATCATCAATGCGCGTTACGAACAACTGTTGGAAATCTATATGAAATAGGCACTTGTGCGCTCACTTTTCTCATTTATTTTGTCCACCATTCAAATAGCGGGCATGGTACCCATAATTCCAGGCGCAGATATGACAGTTCGTGTTGTAACTGCTTTTAGAATTAATAAACTCATGTTGGTCAAATTAAAATCACTTATGTTTATCCAGTAAAATGCACAACTCTGAGTTAGTTTTGTGTCAATTTCTCGTACAGTATAAGAGTATAGCATCTGTAGCTTAATGAAAGTGCATTACCTTCAGATTGCTGGTTTTAATCCTACGCGATTCGATGAAAGCATGTCTGAAGTGAAGCTCGTCTCCTCAGCAGCTCCACTCATCTGTCTGCTGCTTTTCATTTACTTTCAGCAGTGGGGATATTTCCGGAGAAAACAGCGCAATTGTCGTGTCGGGAAAAAATATCTTAACTTATATTGCGTCATTAATTTTACGCGACGATGCCGCATATTACTCAAAGTGAAACACTCATCTCAAGTGTCTCCTTTACAAACAGGATGTGTCTCATATCCTATAGTGAAGCTGCCCTGCATAGACTGCATGCTTGGGCATTACTAATGCGCTCCGTGTCTGCTGAACCGAGTCTGTGAAATCACATGGAACTATAATGGCAAACGTGCTGTCGGTGACTCCTCGTACCTGTTTGGAAACGAGAGTTAATATATTTGTCATAGAGGATTTCCTCGGTGGATTTGTTCATTTGGCTTGACGCAAAGCAAAGCATACATCACGAGAGTTCAAAACACTTGTAGCTATTTTCTTCGGTGTCCGACTGAATTTAGGCTACTTAATATTTGACATTGTATTAGATTTGATTAATAAACCATTATTTAACATAAAATGAAATGAAAAAATACTTGTTTTAAAAATTGCTTAATGAGGATACATTGTAATTAACTTATTTTAATGACTATTTATATGTTACAATTCCTGCAATATAAAATGTTATGCATTGTCTATCTTGTATATAAAAATTGTACAACAACCACCATTAGGCGTGAGCAGGGCACAACTTAAAGCAAGGTATTGACTGTCTTAAAAGGTCTTGAAATTCAAAACCTAAATTTTCAGCCTTAAAAAGTCTTAAATTCACTGAATTTTTGTGTGGTAGGTCTTAAATAATTTTAAATAGGTCTTAATTTTCCTCTAAGTAAAGCTACCCAATCGGCCAGACATCCATCCAACCACCCACAATTCATAACTCATAATAAAATCAGAAAAAGAAAACTAAAAACAACTACACAATATCTTCACGATAATAACAGAGCAATATATCCCTTTACATTATCTTCCATTCACACAAACAATATTTGCAGAAGTAAAAGGTGAGATATATATATATATATATATATATATATATATATATATATATATATATATATATATATATATATATATATATATATATATATATAAATGGGCGTGAAAATTTAGACAAAAAGGCAACAAATATATAGTTCACTATTTACGTAATTGCCTCCACAATAAATATACTTTTAACATTGTTAAACTTGTCATTTAAAAAAGTATGTAATATTATGTTGAAAATAGTGTATTCTACTAGACTTTCCTTGTTATGACACATTAAAGTATGTCACTAAGAACAAACTACGGTAGCTTTTGTGGCAAGCAAAAAAAAAAAATTAAAAAATCCATTTGCCCAACCAGGCCATTAGAAATAATCAATAGTGTTTAGCCCTGTATAAATCTAAAATTGTATTCATAATGGCCATAAAAGGGTCTTGAAAAAAGTCTTAAATTTGAATTGATGAAACCTGCAGAAAGCCTGGTAAAGGGGTAGTTCACCCAAAAAATAATTCACTCATCCTAGTCCACTTGTTCAAGTTTGTTTCGTCTGTTGAACACAAACGATGAATATTTTAGGAATGTTGGTCAGCAGCAGCCATTACTGTCTTCCATAGTAGCCTACATTTGGATGTCAATGGCTGCTGGTTTCTAACATTCTTCAGAATATCATTTATGCTCGACAAAAGAAATTCACTAACATTGAGAAATACTTCAGCGTGAGTAAATTGGGATTTTTGGAATGATCTATCCCTTTAACACCTTTGACTGTATCCATGAGGTTTAGACGTTTTTTTCTCTATTTAATTTTATGGTTGGCATCCGCTGTGTAAAACATACGCTGGATAAGTTGGTGGTTCATTCCGCTGTGGTGACCCCTGATGAATAAAGGAACTAAGCTGAAGGTAAATGAATGAATTTCACAGTTGTCTACTAGGAATGTTTTAGTTTCATGATTAAAGTGTGTAGATTTGTTATTATATACCCCAATAGAATGGAGTAGGAAGTTTTTTTTTTTTTTTTTTTGCAGTTGGAATCATTAAAAAGTTTTTTTAATGATTAATTTTGCAATTGCAACACAAAGCTAGACAGCTGAAATCAACAAGAGAAAAGAGGTGAAGAAACACATTCAGAAGAATGACATCACTAACATCATTTACTCTTAACGTCTTAGTCATTGTTATAATGTGTTAGCTATTATTAGAGCGGTGTTAAAACGTTTCCCGTCTGCACAACTGATGAAACTAAAACTTGTTATCGTCTTCTCACTGCTAAACAAGACTAGAGATTACAATCATATATGTATAAATATATATATAATATATATTTGTCTATTTTAAATAAAAATATAGCAGGAAAAGTTCTTTTGTTGTGGTTTAATAACTTTTTCAAGGTTATGAAAGCATGTGCTATCTCACCCCTAACTAAACAATACTTTTCTCACAATTATACTTTGCGTTCAGGTTAAACATTTAGTAAAATATATGAATGAACCAGCAGTTGGCCTCAAACAATCAAATGCAACTTCAGAAATCATTTATTTATATATTTAAAAAGCTTTATTACAAAGATTTCGGGTTTTGGACATCAGCTTTCTCTAAACAGGCATCTATCATTCACAAACTTTATAAAGTGTAAAAAGTTTGTAATCTACTCGACACACCATATCTTACAGGTAATGATCTATGTTCATGTGCAATAGTGTATATAAAAATCAGTTGTATATCTAAAACCAGCTAAGCAGTAGTTGTGCACATTCCAAAAGGAGACACTCTTTATATTTACACACCCAGTGTGAACGCTTGATCTAAATATATTATTCTAGATGAAGATCTGCCATCTTTGGTGATCAGACCATGAGTTGTTGACTTGAGATGGCAGAAAAGCACCACTGCCAGGTAACAAAGGACATACACACAGCATTAGGGACATGATCGGGGCGGGGGTTTGAATCAAACTACTCCATTACTCAAAACATTAGGCAAACACACACATATATATATATATGCACACATTAAAACAACCCACAAACAAGTGTTATTTAATTGCCTCAAAGACGTTAATAAATAAACCTTAAGCAGAACATCAGGCCATTAGAACAGCTGTGCAGTGTTATAAAATGAACGTGTCAGAAAACAAACAAACAAATGGAGCTTCAATTTAGCACAACCCTAAATGCAGAAGTGAAACTGGGCAATGTGTCCAGATTCCACCTGAAAACCCCTTCCCGAGACATTCTTCCAGCTTATAATCACAAGGTAGGTGCTTCTTATCCTTATGCCCAACCGTCTTCTCTTTCTGGCTACGCAGCCTTATTGCGTGCTTCTGAACAGAGCCTGAGCCAAACCCAGGTCCTACAACAAACCCATGGTCACCCACAAGAAGCAGAAAAGAGCAGATTGTTTGGTATGTCAGCAGGGAGCGAGTGAGAGAGAGTCCGCTTCCCGTAATGGGTCCCTGTGAGGCTGTCTTGGTGATGGACCTGCAACTGTCCTGTGCCTCCTAAAGATGGATGCAAGTCTGTACTCAGTAATTACGCTGGGAGTGGCTCCTCACACACAGCCCAACGTTTGTTTTCCACATTCAGAATAGAACATGGACTGGCCTGCCATGGAGCTGCAGAGAGCGGTAGAAATCAATGGCGTTCGATTGGATACAAAGGGAGAAAATACATTCAAGTGCCCCGTACATTCGTTTACAGGTGTGCAACCTGGTGCCTTTGATGCACCTGGAGAAAGAAAAGATTTGATCTGTCTTCCAGATTGACTGGATCTCCCTGTTTACAGTGCAGTTTCATACATCACATGCGTTTCTGAGCCAAGGCTGAGGTTCTACACGCAGCCATATTCATACCACACAGTCTGAGGGTCATTGTTGGGGTCTGGAGATGCAGGTTTGCTGGTGGGCTGCTCCTTGGAGGCATAGCTTAAGTTTGTCGTGTCTGCCTTCTTCAGTAGAGGAGACTCTGCCTCCCTTTGCTCTTGAGGTTCCTCCTCCAAATCGTTCAGCCTCAAAGCTGGTACAGCTCGCACTGGAGTCACCATGGCCACTTCACCACGGTGGGGAGCTCCTCGGGGTTGGGCAGACCCAGAACGAGCTGCTCCTGCTCGGCTACTACCACTCCCGACATACTCCCGTTCAGCTTGTAGAGACATGGAGGAAGAGTGAAGTGGAGGAGGACTGACCAGGGAAAACTCATCTCTCGGTTGAGCAAGAGACAGACGACGGGGGTCCACAGAAATGTGCCCTGGATCTCCAGGCAATGGCGAGGATCCTGTCACTCTAGCAGACATTGGTCTTTCTCTAGCAACTGCACCAGGTCTCCTCATCACCACATCGTTTTGGTTGGGAGAAGCTGCTTCTGTGCGGTAGCTGTCGGGTCCGTTGGAGCGGAGCAGGTCTGCAGAGGCCAGACTGAATGTGCGGCTCAGGCTGGCACTGCCACCCACACTTCCGCGAGGACTGGACTGCTGCAGTGCTGAGGGTCGCAGTCCCGCTCCTCTGTTGGGAAGGGTTTGAGAGTGCGAAGGTGGTGTGGAGGTGTCTGTAAGGCGAACACTTGGTTTGACGCTGTGTCCTGGTTTGGGGGTCCGAGCGTCTAGTTCTGGTGGTGTGGTCTTGACAGTGGGCGTAACATAATTGGTGGGGGTTTTAGCACCATCTCGAAGAGGAACGGGTCGAGTAGATCTAGTGAAATAATCAGTCATCAGGTCCTCTCGACTGCCGGTCTGCACCTAAGAAAAAGACATTTGAACTCATTACCATTTTGTATTTTATTTTGCACCAAAGACAGTAATGATATTTACATAATAACAGACTTTAATTGTTACTGTTATAGACCAAGAGCTTAAGGACTTAACAAATCAATTGTTAATTAAATATATCTTAGACATTGCCATGCACAAATGAATACACCCCTTTGAAAATGTTTTAATATGCTTATTTTTAACTATTTCTAATTCTTTTGATTAACATATGATACCTAACCAGGGCGTGTGACCAATTTTATTAGTGCGACTAAAAAATTGCACCGGTGCGACCAGCTATTCAAGGACAAAAAATAAATACATTTTTAAATAGTCTGAGACTGTGGTTCAATTGACACAAACTATGGATGCTAATTTTGGTTAGTATTCCTAACTGACAACAATGTCATCCGTATGTTAACCAACCAGAATAATATAAAACTATCAATTTAAAAAATAACTAGATGATGTGTCTATTTTGTGTCTAACACATTAAATATTGCATTTTTTAAATATCGATCTATTCTAAGCGTAAACGGGGCTTTACACTAGTGCGTTTTAGTTTTAAAACGGCGTTTTAGAATGAAAACGATCCGCGTCCATACTAGCATGTTACCCAGCGTTTCTGAACAGCTCTCCGTCCACACCAAAACGCTGAAAACGCACATCACGTGACCACACACACACACTCTCGGGCAAGCGCTGCAGCCTATCTACCCAGATGAGAGCTGTGCTAGTCAGATTGCTCATCAAGCATCTCCCGCTGGATTTAATCTCACTATATTTATTAAACGTGTTATTTCATTCATCTTGTTGTCTTTTTCTAACGACATATTCCCTGACTTTGGTCATTGGAATCTATTACTTGTTCTCAGTTAACGTGTTTTGGCTATGCGCAAAGATAAGCTAATGATTATTGTAAGCACGTACTGTACTTGCTTAATATTGACTGATTGCTTGCCTTTTCTTATAATGTATAAACTTATTGTGCGTTATACTTTCATAATGGCCATAATTGGCTCTTCAGTGTTTGAACTCTCAGTAATGATTAAATCACACTGAACTGAGCTAAACTGAACTGAACTGAACTTAAACACTAAAACCTGAACCACACTGTTCCAGTTACTGAACCACACTGTTCCAGTTACTGAACCACACTGTTCCAGTTACTGAACCACACTGTTCCAGTTACTATGACCATTTATGTGAAGCTGCTTTGACACAATCTACATTGTAAAAGCGCTGTACAAATAAATTCAATTGAATTGAATTGAATTATCGATTATTAAAACTGATATTCAGCAAAAGAGAGGGTATGTTTCGTATTTTGAAAGGAGAAAATGAAAGGAGGCCTAAGATATGTGAAAAAACTCAATTTTAATGCACCTGCAGCCTTCCAACAACAACCACACATTAATAAAAGTAACAAAAAAACTAAATATGTCTACTAAAAAAAAGAATAAAATATATAGGGCTGCGCTCAATATTTTCACTTAAATTACAAATTTAAATTCTACAAAACAAAAACACTGACTCAATCCTTTAAAAACCAATCCTTTTTTTTCCAATCAGGCTTACTAAGTTTTTTTTTCTTCCATCAAATTAAAAGCAGGCCTACACATCAAAACGATCGCTTCACGAAAATTAAGCATTTAATTAATGCTTCACTGTAATTCTTGTATTAAAAATGTTAACAGACCTTGTAATAGAAGTCATTATTGTAAAGATTATGTCTTGAGAATCTGATTTTCTTTGCGCTTATGTGCATTTAATTTTCTCCATCGTGGCGAGTTCAGGTGTGAGAAGTGTCCTCATATTAGTATATAGGCCCAGTCTCAGACTGGCACAGAAATATCCGCAGGCCTATAATAAAATTTAGGTTACCGGCAAGGAGGGATAATAATGGTATTAGATCATTTAAAGGAAATTATTATTAAGAAGAAAACATAACCTAAACTGAACCACTGCCGCAAACGTTGATATCTCCATATGACATTGTGAGGTGCAAGGCTCAAAGTAATAAAGGGCCATTCAAGCATTTGTCTTTTGCACGCTTAAGTTTGTTATTGCAAATGGAGACGCATAGCTTGCCTTTTCCAGGCACAACAGTCGAAAACATGTCAACATTTTTATTAAACTGCAAAAATGTGAGGCAACCGAGGTACATAAGCAGTGCACAAAACTCTCACTGCTAATAGAAAACGGCATTTAAATCTCACCTCAACAGTGCTTTTGGTGTGTTCTTGCTTAAACACTCACAATAATATCCAGCTGTAAGCAGCAGTATGCATTCTTACATTGTGAATTTATGCTGCAATGATTTTAGTTCATTTATTATTGTTGTCATAGCTATATATATATATATATATATATATATATATATATATATATATATATATATATATATATATATATATATTAGAGCTGCACAATTCTGGCTAAAATGAGAATCGCATTTTTTTTCTTAAAATAAAGATCACGATTTTCTCACGATTCTATGGATGTAAAATAAATGTATGGTAAAAACAAACATATGGCTCAACATCGCTAATAATATTATGTGTAGGTCTACTGGTTTCTATAAATAATTCTATTCTACTTATAATAATTCTGATGTTGAATTATTATGTTTGAGATATATGCTTGCAATCTGTCATATTAGACAATTCTATTCACTGGTAAAATCAAGACATTTGCCATTATCAGATTATATTCAACAATATAAAGGCTGGAGTAGTTATACTGACATTGAAAACCTTTATTTTCATGCACAACTGTGGGTTCACTATGAAAGAAAAAACATATCAAACGCTTGCCGTAATCATAACTCTAAAGTGCGATACGATCATTTAAATGAAGTGCACACTTTCGGTTTCATTCTGACTGCTAAGTGCTTGTTCATACTTCGCGCGCGGCTCCTAAACGATCCCTCTGTGACAGAGACAGAACATTATTTGCAACTGTATTACCCGTTACTCGCAACATATGCAGGTTCTGTTCACTAAAGTAGACGCGCACCCTCTCTGTGATAACAGCTCACGGTCAGCAGCTCATTTCACGTGTGATTTCCCGATCACGAAAACATCATTATATGAAGACAAAATGAAATTTTTAGGTGAATTATACCTTATAAATACAGTATGTGACTCATTCAACATCATTTGGAGGTGTCAATGTCACTGAGCAACGTGTGTGAAATAATTAAAAGACTCGTGCAGCCGCCTTTTCTTCTCTCCTGAACATGAAAATATGATTGACAGAATCGTAGAAATGCTGGATTAAGATCGTCTACGGGGTCGAATCGAGATTGCGATCTTTTAACGATTAATTGTGCAGCTCTAATATATATTTATATATATATATATATATATATATATATATATATATATATATATACAACAAAACACATAGATTTGTTTACAGCTCATCTATAAAATGCTAATGCTGTACCTGCAAAAGTATCATTGAACTTCATTTTACCAAACTTTGTCAGATTTTTTATTGTTGCATAAAAAAAATGTAAAGCAGGTTAAACTAGTGCTTTTTATATAGTTGGAAATGTAAAATTAAAGGTCATAAGCTGAAAATGACGATGAAAAATGTAAGCTTTATTTTTCTATCATTTTAAAAATGGGTAGATCTTGCCTTTCAGCAAGAAGTTAAGGATATTTAGCTAAAAAGTTTGGTGACCACTGGGTTAAACATTCAATATTTTACAAACATCTTTGGATTAAATCAATCAGAGATAGTGAAGGGTGATAGAAAGTTCCCTTTTTGTAGAATAAGTGAACTTGTAAAACTGCAGTGTTAAATGCGACGCAGTGGAAAATTTGGGTATTTGTTCTAGTGCAAACCTCATATGCAAAAATCTTTCTCTATATAGGATCCCATAGAAAGTGTTAAACGCCTTTTTCCAGAGAAATCTGTTGTGAGTTGTAAACTCGTTTATTCTGAAAAATGTAATAAAATAATTTTTAATTCTAAATTGTGAACACCAGTAACTCTACGAAATACATTTTGCCCTCACACACACAAATATGATTTCCAGCTTTTTGACCATGAGAATCCTGTGCATGCATCACAATTTGCTTCCTGTCTTAGAACAGAATCCACATTAGGGTCCATTATGACAACACAGGCAGACAACATGATATGTGATAACGGCCATCCATCACTGTCAAAATCTCCATTATAAATAGCACACCCAGCACTTCAAGACATTATCTTCATCATCACCAATTAACAAAAACAATCTGTAATCCAGGGCCAAACAGACCAAATATCAGATGTCATTTATTTAGAAAGAAAAAAAAATCCCTCTAGAGATTATCAGTTAAACGTGAGAAGATTCCATTCACTCTGCATAAATACACACTTAAATATACACACAACCCTTTGAGGTGTTAAAAAAAAAAAACAAAGTGAGAAGACGCATCCTTCCATGTATGATTCATTTTAAACTCCCCTGCAAATAAATGCCTATTCAAAGGTCAAACCAGCAGGGAGGACAAAAACGTTTTTTGAGAAGCGTTTAGGTGTAGTAAGTGTGCAAAGGACTTACAGTGGGTGGTGAGAGGGCATTACTCTCCTGCAGGAACTCCTCCAGAGTGACCATCTCACTGCCCGGAGAGGACGGCCGGCGGGACGCAGGCCTCTGGGAGGGGCGTGAAGCAGACGGGGAATCACAGGGAAGAGTGGAGCTACGAGGAAGAAGAGACGACTGACTGAGACGAGAGCCTTCGTGAGCCAGTCCAACCACATCATCACTGGACAGACTGGCAGATCGGCCCTGCAGACAATCCAGAGACCCTGGAGGAAAACAGGAGAATAAACCATGAGCTGTACAGTGTGAGATGCCATGAAAATGGGGACTTTAAAGGGCACCTAGGTTACCCCTTTTTTCAGATTTAATATAAGTGTTTTGCGTCTCCAGAATGTGTCTGTAAAGTTTCAGCTCAAGTTTGTCCCAAATTGGATACTTATGCACTATTCTACGCCATCTTCTTTTATAAAAACACATTCACACAGAAATATTAGTTCATTATATTAGTATTGCTGATATAAGTGCACTTATTCCACCATTAAAACTAAGTGTGGATTGTTGGACACTTCACACACTCAACGGCTGCAGCTTTGCTCACGTCTCAAAAGGGGCTGAGCTATCGGCTCTGGATTACATTTATGTTGAATTGTGAAAGCCAAATTCTCCTACTTGGGTGATTATAGCACCTTTGGTAGTTTGGTCATTTATTTAACTGATTTTGCAACCATCAAACTACTCTGATTGGGACAACACTTCATTCATATACTATGCTGTAGAGTGTGTACGTGCATAAGTAAAAAGTGTATAGTGTGCCATTTGGGATGCGATGTATGAGTTTTGCTGTGGTTACAATTGGCCCTACACTCTATGCCATCATCTTCAACCTGCAAAACAGGAGCATTTTGAAAACACTAAGGACTACATTTCAGTTTGGAAAAGCTGGGGTTTCATTTTAGTGTAGATGGACTAGAATGCAACCTTTTAAAAATAGACAAACAGCTATCAACAATCGCTCTCTATCTCACCATCATCAAAGACTATAGAATACACAAGACATGTTACTCATATACATTTGAATGGGGAAAAGTGTAACTCTCAATATGGCGAATGAAGCCCCGCCTTATAGTACAGGAGCCAATCAGCGATCGCTATAGAATGACAATTCTCTGGGGAAGGGACTCAGACCAGACGTGAGTTTCTGCAGATTTTGTGTGATACGAACATTTAGAAATGATACTAACCAGTAACTAGACACTTGTTGTTCAATTGTATTGTTTATTCATAATATTTAAAATTAAATGGTAAAGCTTGGCATGTAGTTTTGGAGAATTAGATGTTTCTCCATTCAGACACAATGCCCAAGCAAACAGCCTGAGAGGCGTTTCAAAGATGGCTGCCGAGTAAAATGACTTGCCTGAGAGGGACTTTGCCATCATTCACTATATTCGCCAACGACCTCTCATTTGACCATTATGGCAAAATTTGCATAGTCTGAACAGTCACATATCATGCTTTTTAAAAGGAACACTCATGTTTATACGTCACCTTGAGTTAAACAGGTGAGTCATACCATTTTTGAATCTATTCAACCGATCTCCGGGTCTGGCAGAGCACTTTTAGCTTAGCTTAGCATAAATCATTGAATCAAACTAGACCATTAGCATATCACTCAAACATTTCAAAAGTTTTGATCGTTTTCATATTTAAAGCTTTTCTTTATTTATTAAAGAAAATAAATAAATGTTAAATAAAAATAAAAAATAAATCGCACAATGTGTCCAGCCTTTAGTCTTTTACTGTTAAGTGACTTTTTTTTTTTTAAATGTTCTCACTATATATTAACCTATTAGCCCTTTTAGTTTATATAGTATTATTATTTAAATTAAGAACTATTTAATCGTCAAATAATAAATAATCCTTTTCTGATTAATTCAACTGCTTAAAATGACTATTCAAAATGTTTGCTTAACAACAGTGATGCAATTGAATTTCTATTCAGGAGCCACGCGAATGTTCAAGTAGATGTTTGTTTCACCCTCAGAAACAATTACTGTCTCAATGGTACTTGAGATGGAGTGTGTGTGGAGGTGGCATTTTCCATAGCTAATCGAATGACTATGCATGCATATGTAACAGGTAACTCACACCCACTCACACAAACAGACAGATTGAGAGGCAGACATAGATAGATAGATAGATAGATAGACAGACAGACAGACAGACAGATAGGCAGGCAGGCAGACAGACAGACAGACAGACAGACAGACAGACAGACAGATCGACCTTTAGAGCTGACAGGGGAGTTGCTGCTGGAGGTGTTGCGGCTGAATTCGGCAGAACTGGGCCTGTGTCCTGTAACAGGGGGGCAAACATTACACAAACACATCAAGAAGTAAAGCAAGGCTGTAGAGGCAACATGTATTGATCTAGTTAATTCTCTTACCTGTGTTTCCATGGACACCACTGCCAAACCCAGCATCTGGAGAATGATGGCGCAAGTCTTCCTCTGAGACCAGCCCTGGAACAATTGAGCAGTGAATCTATTAATATAAATACTGCAGTCCTACAGATATTCACATGCATTTGACAATCAATGCAGCCATTCTATTTGCTGACATTCAATAGTACAATATACGGTGATAATTAATAAACGTGTATCATTTAAACATTGAAAATGACTTTTAAAGGGATAGTTCACTCAAATTGCTTAATTCTGTTATGTTACTCAACCTTGACTTGTTTCAAACTTGACTCTCTTCTGTTGAACACAAAGAAGATATTTTGATATTATTCTTGACGTCCAAGTGGGCACAGCCATTTTGGATTGAGACTTCCTGTATCATTTACTTGTTTTGATATTTAGAAATTAAAAACAGCTTGTAATGCTTATTGATGTTGCAAACTGATATTTTTGGATTATTTCATTCTACTTTTTACGTATATTTATGAACAGACTTGTTTGTAGAGCAAGTTTGACCCTTTTCTGCAGTTAATAGTTCTTAGTCATTTCACCCATTGGCAAATGAATCGAAAGTTTTAAAACAATTGCAGAAATGAGCACATAAGATCAATAGCATTTGTTTTTCCTACAATGGAACTTAAGGGTGAGTAAATAGCGAGTAAATTCTGGAATATGCCTTTAACAATACTCTGCTTTTTGTATTCACAGTGACGTTTATCACAGCACCGAAAGCTTGATCTTAAAAGACTGTTTCTTTCAGACAAAAAAGAAAAGAAAAAAAATGACTACATTCTGCCTTTTTTTGTTCCTTCACATTATGGCTCAGTTTGTTAACGTTAGTAAATTAAACATAACTGAGAATGAAAACAAGGTTTAAAAAAACATGATAAAAGATTAAAAAAAAAAAAGGTTTAAATGTGCAATTGTATTCTATACACTATATCACATCAGTATACAACACATTATAACACATCAGTGTGTTATCAGCCAATAAATACACATTTATTGATATCAACCCAACACATTTCTGGCTGATCAATGTTAGGTTAAAATGTTTATATCAGCCTCAGCGATAACAATACCAACACTACAAACTATAACTGCCTGAATTTATGACAATAGTGATGTCATGTGCATAATTAGTATTTCGGTAACACATTAAGGGGTGTTCATAAGACTCACGCATGCTTATAACAACCGTCATAATGAGCCCTATCATACACCCGCCGCAATATGGCTATACGTTCTATACACACAGGATGTACAGCAACACACAAATATCTTTACATATGAAAAAATAAAGGATTAAAATGTTACTAAAATTATTATTTTCTACATAAATATAAAAACCACTACCTGCATGCCTTCTTCATCTCAGGGGATTTTTTCAGTTTATTCATGACAATTTGCATCTGTATAATGTCATTATTATCAGCAGAATGACTTTTTTTATACGCATATTTATATTTGTTTTTATTAAAACAAGTTTAGATTTGTCCAGTCATTCAGTTTTTCAACTTAAAAAAATCGCCATGTAAACAGCAAATGCGCCATGGTGCGACGCAACTGACTCTTAAAGTGAATGAGAGATGAGCATTTTTTTCCATCATTAAAATAGCAAAAGTGGATTCGGACATTATCTTAAAGGGTCACGAAACACCCAAACACATTTTTTGAGCTGTTGACAGTCGTATATGTGTCCCACACTGCTAAAAACACTATTAGGACACCTATATTTCACTAAAAAGTGTAAATTGGTTGTTTTTGTGTTATTTTAAGCAAATTCATACTTCCGGTTTGAAACTAATTTTTGAAGCTGCGTCACGGTCATGACATAATAGCCTGTATTCCAGCGTGCAGACTGGACGTCTGTGCCAGAGTGTCTTATTACGTCTTACAGCCCGCTGCATTAATGCATGAATAAAGCTTGGTTCAAACCAATCAGCGCGCTCTATTGTGCAACTTCATTAATATTCATTACTGTCACAGTGTTTAGAAGGCAGAGATGCCACGTTGTGTTGGCAAAACAAGCGTGAAGTGTTGCCTTTATAGTTTGCTGCAGTTAAGTTTTGTTTTCATTTTCTCTCTGTGAGAGCGCAGACTCATGTGTGGATTAACAGTGTACGCGACGCGCGACAACAATAATTTACGTGTCTAAGGAGGATTATTGTTTACCTGAGAGCTGTTCTCATCTGCAAACGCTGAGATCCGGATTCGCTTGTAGTATTCTCTTAATAAAGACGCGGCTCTAGTTGCTGGTGATTGTCCTGCCTCTACAGATTTGGTAAGTGGGCGACCAGTGCTCTTTGTTTATTCAGTTCGTATTTTATTCTTATCGAACAAACTATTGCACCGAGTGTAAACAAGTTAGCTTTACAACCAAACTATAACCTCATGTAGGATTTTGTGATCAAATATCACATCAAATCAAATATCTCGTTTGTGGCGAGGGACATGAATGAATTCCCTGAATGAAAGAGCCAAACTGCAGTTAAAGTCCACCATTTAATAATTGGGCAAATAATTTGATTACAGATGTCCATGTAAACAGTCCCTTTCTCCCCTGTTGGGTGTGTGTTTTGACTCTAAAATTCAGCGCGCCCAAATAGACACTCCCACACCAAGCCTCTTTTCTTCCTCCGACACTCCCCCCTAAACAGAGCTGGACACGCCCACTTTTCTGACTTTTTCCAAAGTAGAGGTGTGAAAACACCCTGCTGAAACGAGGGGGTGTCATGGCCCTTTAATGCTTTTGCGCCATGCGCTTTAGACTTTGTGCCTAGATCGTTATAATAGGTCATTAAAATTGAGTCATTCACACAGTTAATATTGTTTGTTATGACAACTTGAATGATTTTTATGTATAAAGCCATTATAAATATGTCTTGAATTTTATAACATTGTCATTAATATTTTTTTTGTACAAGCTGAATTTTTAAATAAAATGTTATTAAATATTACTGTCGCTGTTAAAATGATTTGACAGAGTAACAACACTTTTAATGGAGCATTTTAATTACAAATACAGTTTGTTCCACTAAAAACGTGATCAGAAATAGATTGATGGCACAATTACAATGTCTCATGACAGTTATGTTTATGACAGATTTGTGACTAGTTTATATTGTCTTGGTAATGTCAAGTTGTCATAAAGATGAAGACCGGCTATTGTGCATTTATGTCAAGTTGTCATAACAATGTTATCTTTGCATTTAAAATGACATAATCACGCAAACTACATTTAATAACAGCTGTCATAAGCATGCATAAAATCTCATTCACATTCATGTTTCATGTCATGATTATAAAGATTTCCTGATAGTCTTATGAACACCCCTTCAAGTAAAGTGTTACCAGCTATCTGTACAAAGTAAGATCGCAAAACTACTGTTTTGCAGTGGTGGAAAGAGTACTGAAAAATTATACTCAAGTAAAAGTACCAATACTTGCCAAAAAATGAAGTGCAAGTGGAGTAAAAGTATCTGTTGTAAATATTACTCAGAGTAAAATGTAGACCTTTTAAAAGTTCTCGAGAGTAGTGAGTATTACGTTGTAAGAAGCTGATGCGTTTACATATAATTTGTAAATGCATTTAGTCATTGCCCAGCAGGCACACAACATCATAAGACGTTAATATTAGGTTAAATTTAGGATTTGATGTCAAGTGACCAAAATTCAATGTCTAGCCAGCGTTCAAGCACAGCGTTATTTTAATGACCAATAATGACACTGATATTTGGTTGATTTTAGGTTGTGCTGGAAAGTGAACAAAATCCAACGTCATATTGACATTTATTCATCAGTTATGGCAACCAAAATCCAACGCCTGATAGACGTCATAGTGGAAACGTCCACACAACGTCAAACTGTAACATCATTAGACATTGATATTTAGTTGGTTTTAGGTTGGCCGTTGGACATTGACGTCGGCCTGACGTTAAGTTCTGACGTCATCCAAATAAAATGCATCTTTCCCCATGATGTTAGGGTACAACTTCAGTCTGACCTCATGTTAACATCTTGTGCCTGCTGGGTGTTTAAGGCCAGTAAACAGTCTCTGGGTGTAAAGACTTTGAACATCTTCTTGGACACTTTTTATGCTTCCAAACAGTTTGCTGCATTTATAAATCAAATTGAGGTAGTTCATTACGATGTGATTTACCTTTTTTGTGCGATTTGATTGGACAGGAATCACAAGACTGATTTTTCTAATCCCCATAGAAGAGAAAAGAAAGTATTGTCTGCAGGTTGAAGAAAAGTAGTGGAGTAAAAGTACCAATACTGTACTAAAATGTACTCAAGTGAGAGTCAAAGTACACATTTATAAAACTACACAGTAAATTACAATTTCTGAGAAAAACCACTCAGTTACAGTAATTTGAGTATTTGTAATACTTTACACCACTGCTGGTTTGACATGAATAATACAGCAATTATTACCATTTTCACAAATCTGTGTGAGCATGGATTATTTTTGTCGTCATCTCTATCTTTTTTATTTAGCTAAACTGTTATCATGTAAACACTCTCGGTTCCTTTTTCAAAGATGCTCTCTTAAAAAAGAAGTGTCATCATAGGACACGACGGGGCCTTTGGCTACTGCAGTCTTCCTGTGTGCTTCTGTCTGAACACGACTGCTTGTTTACGCAGAGCACTGGATATCTGAGAAAGCTTCAAGCACTAGAAAATAAACAATCATTTAGACTGAACGCTTTGTTATTACGCTGACAGCGACTTGATGAAATGAGCTCAAGGCTTTTTTGGCTGGGATGCGACTGTGAGGGTCAGTGCTGTTTAAAGCTGAAGCCCCCATGTGTACATGCTGGCACATTACACACTATAAACTAGCTAATATCTAAATAAACTAATGCAGCATGAAGAACAACAGCAAAATCTCTCAACGGAAACTTCACTGACTGCAATGAGAAGTTGACTGGAATTGATTAAGCTCCATTAGGACGCAGACATAATTCAGCTAGCATGATGCTGGCTTTAAACTGTATCCATGGCCTGATATTAAGTATCTAGGAAAATGATTTTCACTGGTCTGTCAAATTGATGATTTGTCAGATTGAATGTTTATAGTCATTTTTAAAATAGCCTTGATAATCTTAATGTTTTTCTTGTGCATTAAGTCCTGTGTGCTGCTGGAGATGTTTTCATCCACTCTGGGGTGATTTTGAGGCTTAATTTAGCCAAGACTTTCTTTATGTTACGGCAAATTAAATGATTTTTGCTGACAAATCTTATTTTGACACATATTTTGGGAGAATGCTTTGAAAATTGTAAATGTTGTTGGTCATTATGGTAATAATGGTGATTGTGTTGGTCACTATTTTTGCCCCATTGACTTCCATTATTCATATGACAAATTGGACCTCTTTCCAACTTGGAAACCACCAACAATCAAGAATGCATGGTTATTTGGCGTCAAGGCTTTGCAATTAAAAAAAAAAAAAGTCCTTATATTGGAAGTCAATGGAGCAAAAACAGCCACTAACATAATGAAATAGTTGAACAATACACAAAGGTTAAAGCAGTGGTTCTCAATTCCAGTCCACCTGTCCAGCACATTTTTCCTTATTTAAGACGCTTGATTCAGATGATCAGCTCATCGACAGAGATAGATGGACTGTTTTTTGCTTCTTGTTGTACATAATGAAGGGGTAGTTTAAAATGCTACGAAAATACTACAATTGAATAATAGGCATAATAATAACAATAATTAAGTCCCAATCAACTGTTGCTTAACCAAAAGTTTAACAAATAGCAGCAGAAAAGAGTTTGGGGTTACTTTGTTAACTTTACAGGCAATTGTTATTCTCAATATCATAATTTTTTGTAAAACTACAACAAAAAGGGGAAAAGTGTGTATATTAACACCACCAGCATAATGTGTAAGCCATGAAGAAGTGTTTGTACAACAAAATACAATCGGTATAAAACTGATTATAATGAAATGACCATTGAATGTTTACAAAAATAGAGCTTTAGTACAAATAGAGCACTTACAGACATATATTTCAATGTTTAAATCATCCCCAGAAATAATCTGCATGTACGTTACTCTCGACCGCACGCTAAGAGAGATGAAGTAACCCGGGTAAATAGTACAGTACTTTAAATGACCAGTAGGTGGAGGTTAAAACCACATGTGGCTATATACGACTGCACAACAATAAAAGTATTCAAAAATATGTTTTGGCGGGCCAAATCTTATTATATTTCTGACGTCTAAACTAGCGTATCACTAAAAAGAAACTCAAATACTATTACTTATTTTTGAAAAGTATTGCGTTACTTTACTTGTTACTTACAAAAGTAATAATATTACCTAACTCGGATTACTTGAAATGCGTTACTCCCAACACTGAAACTATCCACCTCTTTTAACCATAAAACATTAAATGTGTTAAAAAAATAAGTTAAAAATAACTTATGTAAAAATAACTGCAAACTTAAAAAACATTAACTTAAAAAATCTAATATATATTAGAAGCTGACAACACAGCTTCTGATGGCTCAGTTTGAAATATATATATATATATATATATATATATATATATATATATATATATATATATATATATATATATATATATTCCAAACTGAGAAATTTACTGATAAAAACAAAAAAATAATTTGAAAGTTAATGGCTGCTGGTTTCCAACATTCTTCAAAATATCTTCTTTTGTGTTCAAGTGATACAGAATGTTGATTTTTGGGTGAACTGTCACTTTATCCTCTCTAAGGAAAGTATATTTACAGCTGAACATGGCAGAATAACCATGGTCTGTCATTTAAAGCTCAAAACCGCTGCCGTGTGCTAAACTTCATAATTTAGTGTTACCCTTTGGCCTGCGTCCTGGCCGCAAGCTGGAGGAGGACGTGAAGCCTGGTGCATTGTGGGAGTTGCGGCTTAGTGGAGTTGAACAGGTTGCTCCTCCTGGCTCTCGGCTCCTCCAGCGAAGCAGCTCCTCGTACCCATTCATGCTCTCACTGCCGCCTCCTATTGAGCGGTACCCGTCTCTGCTTCTTGATCCTCCACTTTCATTCAACACTTAAAAAAAAAAAAGAAGGAAAGAAAGAAAATAGAGAATGAGAAGAAAAGGTCAGTGTCTGTGTGTGAATGCAGGACATGTGCAGATCAAGCGTTGCTGCTCTGGTGACGCTGCGGGCGGCTGAAGGTGTCGGGGCAAAAGCACAAGCATTTGTTAGTAAAGTTCGTAAAAACACTCAAGCAGCATGCTGGTGGTCTTCACACACTCTTTAGACAGAGGAAATGTTCTGGGTTCAACACAGCTTCTAGTGACTCGCTGTTTAAAATCATTTTAATGTGTTCTTAATCACTTCTAATGTATTTGGGATGTAGGTTTATTGTTAGATGACTATTTCATACAAAAAGTATAAATAGATAGACGACAGACAGACAGAGACAGACAGTCGGGTAGGTAGATGAGTAGACAGACAGATATGCATGTTTATAGATGGATGGATGGATGGATGGATGGGAAGACAGACAGACAGACAGACAGATAGATATTTGATCTGTATTTGACTTGTAATTGTATAAATTGTCTTACATTATGATCTATATAAAACACCTGAGGTAGTAATGTGGCCACGACCCAAAACCCAGAAGAAATTCTACTTTTATTTCAAGACATTCTTCAAAACATCATCAATAAACTGGCTCAGAATTGCTGGTTGTACTGTATTTTTTCACAATAGTCTAATATTGCATCTGCCTGCTTAAATGTAATTTTATATATTAATATATAAAAAAATGTTAAATTGTTCATCAACAAATCAAAATCCCATCGAAATTCCAAAGTCACATCATATACATCTGCTTATACTACAGGGCTACTGAATGCTTGATTCTGATGGACTGATGAACATTCTAAGGTATGTAATTATTGTCGAATAAAAAAATCATTTAATTTAAGTTGTGGTCACACTGCACTTTTCACCCCATAGACTTTTGTTCATTAGCATTGCAAAGTTCAAACTTGGTGAACCCTGACCTGCAAAAATCAGGTCAAAACATGACCTCTCTCTACAGAAATTTAAAATTTGGAGCAATTTCTTGCTATTGCTAAGCTATACACGCATACTATTACTTCTATAGTAGCACAGGGAATAAAGACAAAACTATGTTAGCACAATTTTCATGGACAATTCAGTTTGACATGTAAAAGTGATCATGTTTGAGTTGAATGTCTGTATTGTTAACGGTGTTGGGTAATAACATGTTGCTGTAACAGCTTTTGGCAGTAACTAATACTCTAGCGCATTACTTTTTAAATATATTAACTCTGTTATTGTTACAATATGATGCCTTTGTCCATTACTTGGTAAATTAATTAATTTGGGCTGCACTCTAGCCAACATCTTCCAAGACGTGTCGTGTATGAGGTACAGCTTATTTTCCATAAGTTGTTGACGTACCACTTTTAATTTCTGGTTAGTTTGAAAATTGCTCGATTTTAATTTTTGAGCAGCTGTTATGTTTTTGTTTTGTTTAGAATGTCTATAATAGCACTTTTCTGATGCTGAATTTCACCAAATTGATTCTGAATGATTACTTTCATTTATTTATTTCAGAAATGTTTTGTTTTTGTTGTATATTGTCACGATTTTCATACTTACGCTGTGAAGGAAAATGTTTAAGGGCTAAATATAAACTTGTGTGATGCTGAAGTCATTTTGGTTTTTGCTTTTTTTACTGAATATATTATTCAGCTGGTTTATCACCTTGTAATTGTGATTTTTTTATTTTTGTGCTGCTGGTCTGACTTTAGTGTTTAAAAAAGACGTTTTGTTTAAGTCTGTCTTGTGTTTTAGTTGTGAGAACGCAAATGAATTAAAACTGTGAAGCTGATCAACAGTGTATTCTCCATGCAGCACTGAAGTGACGTTATGAGGGCATTAATGAAGCATTGAACATGTTTCTTTAAGAAGTAACTCAAAAATGACTTTTAACAGTAATGCATTACTTTTTGGTGTAAGAAATCGATAATGTAATTGATTTGCCTTTTGAAAGAAGTTAGTGTAACTAGTTACTATTTTTCAGTAACTAGCACAACACTGATTACTAATCGGTCTTGTAGCAACCCGTAAGACCTACACAAGTGCCCATTTCAATATGCATTCCGGTGCAATGTCTTGCCCCACACACTCCCAATACAAGTGTATTCATAAAAACATGGCTTTTGCTTGCTTTATCATTGGGGAACAAGTCAAAACCTTGTTTGGTTTTGTTTTTTTGTGATACATCGAAAGCATGCCACAGATGCTGTCGATAGAGCTTAACTTGTACTGAACCCAAAACATTCCTTTAAGCTTCACTGCTGTGGCCAAACTAAAACACCAGCTGGTGCTCCATGACATTCTCTTTATTAGACACAAGCTGAAAAAATGATCCGTACATGATTTTAAAACAAGGAGAAGGTCATTTTATTAACTGCCTGTAAAATCAGACACATTTGTCGCAAACATTCAAACTCTGTATGAGTGCCAATGCTCAGTGTGTCAGTGCATGTGCTACAGTAAACAATAAAGCTAAAGCTGATTCTACTTTAGATGACAGAAATGAGATGCAAAATGTTGCAAGCCAGACTTAAACATGCACTTTATGAGTTTAATGTGAAGCTAAACAACACAGCTCTCTTACAAACAAGGCTCAAACATGCATTGTATGTATCAGAATGTGCCAGCAATTCACAATTCTCTGTAGAAAAAGCTTATGAGCACTTTTATTCTCTTATCAGAACAGAAATGTTGCAAACCAGACTTAAGATGCATTTCCTATATAAGCACCAAGGCTCAAAATGCTTTGTCCATGAGTAAACTGCTAAGCTAAAGGATTAGTACTCATTTTGAGCCTAAAATTAAAATGAGACAATCAGACTCAAACATGCATGACATCTCGGTGGTTATGATATAAAGATTATGCATCGACCACGAGGCTGTTTTTTTCCAAAGGTAAAAATAGTAAATGTGTGAAGGCTGAGGTTTCCTGCTGGTTGAAGCACAAATTCTCTCACGATGTCTTATTATGCTGCCTTCATACATTCTAATTTGCATAATGTGCAAATCAAGCAATACCATGCTATTATCATCCTACATTAAATTAATTTATTCTTACTAAGAAATACAATTAACCTGTATAATATAATGTGCATTAATCTATTGACAACTCATGATAGTTGTCCAGAAACTTTTCATTTTCTGCCTCCCTCTCTACATACAGTACACCAGTTTTCTGTGATATATATATATATATATATATATATATATATATATATATATATATATATATATATATATATATATACACACACACATACACATACATATATAAAAGCAATATCACACGAGTAGCAGTGCGAAAGGGCTGTATATCGGCACTGGTGGGTGGCGTGCGTTGGCATGAGGCCGCAAGCAAAGTGCCTTGGTGCCCCCATCAGTGCCGATGTACAGCCATATCGCACTGCTACTCGTGTGATATTGCGTTTATACAACAGTTTAACGGCATAATTGTGTATATAAGAACAAAATCAAACATGGAGAGTCTCAAAAACCCTTTTGTATGAGGAAATACTTTCTTCCGCGTTGGATTCAAACCATAAGCTGACAGTTAAACAGCTGAGCAAGCATCTTTTAAACTTTAGATCTGTTGTGTCTGCTTTTTGCTGGCTGTATGAGGGCGGAGTAATACACATATATATATATATGTGTGTGTATATATATATATATATATATATATATATATTGGCTATCTCATATATATATATATATAATGCTAATGATAACAATCATGTACCAGTGTAGCAATATAACGTAATCTAACTATGCTATTAAAAATTAAATGCAATTATCGTGTACCAAACTCTCACATGCAATTTATATTTGATTCAAGGTCATAGAATGTACAAGTTTGTGTTTGGTTTGAGCAAACGCTTGAGTTTTGGAGCTCAAGAAGGAGGATTGGTTTTGATTGGGTTTCTTCACCTTTGTACCTGATGCTACAACAGCTAACCTGCTCTGAACCACGTATTATTCTAGGTCAGAGATCACAGACTTGAACTGGACCAGCTGTGAGAAAAGTGACATATGTATCTGATGGAACAAAGCAGCTCCCTACAACTTTTTTGTTCTAAATTAAAGTTGTTCACACCGAGACTAACTGTTTTTTCGTTATTTATAATCTATTTATATGATATGAATTTGACTTACTACATCCAAATAGTTCAGAATTGTCAATTCATAATGGCTTTAAATTAAAATTGACATTACAATTTTGAAAATGAATATATGAAATAAAATATATCCATTTTCAGTGAATATACAATTTATAATGATTAAAATAATTATTAATTTTAATGTAAATACAAAAATTTATTAGAATAATATTTTTGTCGCAAACATCTTTAAAAACAGATAGATAATACATTTAAATTCAAGAGAAATGTTACAAAAATATTTACAAACTACAACATTTCAACTAAATGTTATAAATGTATATAAACAAAAAAATAGGGTGTCATGGTGGCACATTGGGAAGCACAATCGCCTCACAGCAAGAGGTCACTGGTTCGAGCAGTCCAAAGACATGTGCTCTAGGTGAATTGAATAAGCTAAATTGGCTGTAGTGTATGTGTGTGAATGCAAGAGTGGATGGGTGTTTCCCAGTGTTAGATTGCGACTGGAAAAGCATCCGCTGCGTAAAACATATGCTAGATAAGTTGGCGGTTGATTCCTCTGTGGCGACTCCAGATTAACAAAAGGACTAAGCTAAAAAAGAAAATGAATGAATGTAATAAACATATAATATAACACATAATATCCATTACTCAATGAATATAGTTAATGCATTTTGATGCATTTAACCAAAACAGCTTTATTAAACAGATATATATATATATATATATATATATATGTATGTTATTTTTAGATAAATAATATTTTAGTCACCAAACATACTTAGAAATGGAAAGATAATATAATTACAGCAAAATACTGCAAAAAATAAATAATAATAATAAATTACAACCTACAAAATTTAAACTAAATCTTTACATTTTTTGTTTGTTTCACTTGATTTTCCCTCTTTTTTTTGTAAAAGCATCCTATAAAATATTACTTTTAAAAGATTTGTGAGAGGTTGAGCGCTGTACAATTTTGCTTTAACATATAAAGCTTTTAAAATATATTATTTTGAGGTGTTTTTGAACATACATGATTAAAATCAGTTGATTGATTAAATAACATTAGCTTTAAGTTGCCTTTCCAAACTTTTGTAGTGTTTATTTCTTTCTTTTAAATATGTTTTACAGATAGATAAACAAAAATAAAGGTAAATTTGGCTGTTAGCATTTTTGTAAGATTAAATATTGAGTATGATAATCACATATTGAAAAACATGACACCGTGACAGCCTCATCTCTGAGGGTATTTACTTTTCATTTCATTTAAACCTTTGGCAGAAGCTTTTCATTTGAAGAAATGTAGCAAGCATGGCAATTATGCTGGGAATAAAACTTTTTTATTTATGCTCTTAAATAAATAAAAAAATAAAAGTAAAATCTACAGTGGCTCAGTGGTTAGCGCTGTCGCAGTAAGAAGGTTGCTGTTTCGAGCCCCAGCTGGGACAGTTGGCGTTTCTGTCTGGGGTTTGCATGCTCTCACTAGGTTGGTGTGGTTTTCAAGTCCAAAGACATGTGCTATAGGTAACTTGAAAAAACTAAATTGGCTGTAGTGTATGAGTGTGTATGTGTATGTGTGTGTGTGTGTGTGTGTGTGTGTGTGTGTGTGTGTGTGTGTGTGTGAATGTATAAGTAAATGGGTGTTTTCCAGTACTGGGTTGCAGCTGGAAGAACATCCGCAGCGTAAAACATATGCTGGAATAATTGGCAGTTCATTCCGCTGTGGCGACCTCTAAAACAGAGACTAAACCAAAGAAAAAGGAATGACTAAAAACATTTTTTTCCCCAAAATACTCAGGTTAACTGTAAACAATGTCATCTGTGAGAAGTATTCAAGTAAAAGATTCACAGTTTTGACCTGATTCATAGTAGATCATAGCAAGATTTTGGTAAATGAATTGGGAAAATAAATAAATAAAACTTCTACCCAGCTTACCAACATAATATAACAGTTTATCATTAAGAATAGTGATTATGGGCAACATGAACACATCCGCACCCCCAAGAATGGCTTTTAGTAGTCATGTGCCCTGCATAAAAAGCTAAGACACAAATCAATGCATGCCAATTCTACCTGATTTGCATATGAACCCTCCATACATAATTGAAACAGTCGCATGCGCATGTTGCACAGAGAACACACCATATTAAAGATGCAAAACGAATGAACACTGTTTGCTGTACATGTAAACATAAAAACACAAGCAAGCGTTCATGAGCAAACCTGAAGTTCACAAGCAAGCACACATCAAAGCCAGCATAAATCCTGTCTAAGTATCTGCTGAAGTTGTCGTCTACGCTTGCCTTCCTCCTTCAATCCCTCCATGCATGCACTTCATTTGATTACTATTGACTGCTGGTGTTAACAGTGGCTGTGTGCTGCGACTCTGTTCACCTTTCAGTGCTAGCAAGAAGACGCTCACACACATTTCTCAAGGCAAGCACAAGCTGGCTGCAATCCGCTGGGTTTAATACATGTTACTTACTGCAGGCTTGCATTCAGGGTGCTTCGGCCTGGTCTCAGAGCCCTCCACAGCATGTATATGTTGTAGTGTGTGTGTGTGTGTGTGTGTGTGTCATGATGCTGATTGAGTAGTGTGAGCTTGTGGTAATGAGGGAAAATCTATTCATGAATGTTTATTCCTTTAGCGTTTGGTGCTGAATGTTTAATGGTTTGCTTTGTGTGTGTTAGGAACGCTGGATGACTTTGAGGAAGAAATAAATGTGAATGGTGTTGCTATAGGGAGAGTATTGATGGTATAATGGTGTGACCGTGATGATGGTGATGATGATGATGATGGAAAATGTCAGAAATTGCCGATATGCGAAAAAGGTTCGCAGGGGGGGCAGGGGATGATGTTGTCGGATGAGGACCAGAAGCGCAGGCGTCTGGTAAGAGATCGGCGGGAGGGTGGCGTCCCCTGAACGCGCATTTTCTCCTGGCTCTTGCTTCGGAGAAACCGGAAGCGTTTGGCTGCTGGAGGGGCTGGAGTGTGTGTGGGTTAATGTACAGATACAGACACATAGGGAAAGAGAGAAAGGGGTCAGTAGGAGAGAAGAAATGATGATTCAGAGATGAAAAAATTGATCACATTTATGATTCATGAAGAACGATGCCCTGAGGTTTCCTTTGAAGATTGTTTTAGCACTGCAATATAGCATGAAGGTTGAGAAAGGGTTATTACTTGGAGAGCTGAGAAATGAAATTGGAAATTCACAACAGGATTAATTCGCTGAGTGGACACTGAGAGGAAGAAGAGGATGTTTTGATAACAGCGAGTATGAAAACAAAAAGTCCTATGGCGCCACCTAGTGGAAGACAGGTCATCCATATAGCGACCCGTTTAATTCAACTAAAATGTGTTTGCTGTGTGCAAATCTACTTTTGATGCCAGTTTGAGTTTTTAAGAGATCATGACTACAACAAGTTTAGTTTCTAGGGGTGAAAGTGGATTTCTGAAGTTTAGTGGGCACAGTGGCCTCTTTAAACCTGCTAAAAAGATGTGTTTTTGTTGTAAAAGTGTACTTGGGGTCTCATAGGCTACATTTAAACTGCAGATCTTATTGGTCAATTCTGATTTTGTGACTGTATCTGATTTTTTGATGACCTGCTTACAACATCTTGTCTGTATTTACACAGCACACGGCAAAGGCCCAATGGCCAAGAAAAAAAAAAAGCGGGCGCTGACTGACAGCTGATAATAAAATAGTGCTCTTTTCTCCATTCCTGTTTTTAATGTTCAAGGGTTTAATTCTTAAAAAATATTTTTGACAAGTTGCTTTACAACAGCTTATGACAGAAAAGTTCTCACTTGGCCATCTTCTTTAATTCTAGACATTTTTTAAACCAGTAGGCATCTTAACATAATGTCTAAGGCGTGATTTATGCACATGACCTACTGTATACAACAGTTTAATATTAGTTTATATTGGTTACGTGGCGGATGTTGCGCTCTCTCGCTCTCTCTCACGCTCTCTCGTTAATATTCTTAAATACTTGTGCTATATGACATATGCAAGCCTTTTATTCCTCTTGTATGAGATTTAAAGTTTGGGACTCTGCTGAAGTCTGTTCCGAAATGAGAGCGTCAAAGTTGACTTCATGGTGAAAATCCGATCTACCTGCTTATACTGCAGACACGAGGGCACAGATCTGATTCATATCAGCTAAATTTCCACACAGGAGCAAGGTCTGAATGTGATTTGAGTAAATCAAAATCCATGTGATTTTGTCCTGCTTAACCGTACATGGGCCATATCCGATCTGTGCCACATTAGAGAAAAAAAATCAGAATTGAATCAGTTGAACTTTGCAGGGTAAATGCAACAATATCAGACATATTGAGCTTGTTCATCTCTTCCAGAAGCAGTCAAAACACTTTTGACCTGATTGCTTTAGTAGTGTCAAATAACCCTCAAAGTGTCTGATTGTAATGTAATACTGCAGTTAAATACAGCTGTGACGTTATCAAAATACTTTATTTGATCATTTTAAGCATACAAAAAATAAACAAAAGTTTGGTACTAAAAACCACAAGTAAAACTGGCATAAAACTGAAATACTAAATGCTTAAATTTGCATAAAACTAGAATAGTATGTAAACAGTTGCATAACCATAACTTTTAAACTAATTTAAACTCTTAGATTATTTAGGGCTGATGGTTGAGAGTAATAATAATAATAATAATAGTAATAATAATAGCTGTAATAACAATATTTATAAATAAATTAACTTTAAACCATCTAGTCCAAGACAAAAGAAAATAATAAAGAAAAGAATATATATACAGTGCTCAGCATATATGAGTACGCCCCATTTTAATATTTGTATCCATTTCTAGTGAATATGAGTGATATATATTGGTGCATCTGAACAAAACAGATTTATTAAACAGATATATTTATTAAAATTATATTTTAGTCAGAGAACATCTTAGGAAATTACATTTCAACAAAATTGTATATATTTTTTGTTTCTTTTGATTTTTTATTATTTAATATTTTTCTATAACAAATTTAGGTGTACTAGTTTTTGAACCATTATCACAACTTTTTTCGTTAGATAAGCTCTAGATTCAGTACTGATTAAACATAATATATATGTACAAATACAATACTGTAAAGCAGTGGTCACCAAACTTGTTTGGGGGGTACTCATACTGTACATGCTGAGCACTGCATTTTTCATATTGCTACAGCAGTAAAATGACAATATGTACGTCATCATTTCTTGATTAAAGTTTCTGTGACCCGTTTAAATGTCTGCTAGAGAAATTACTTTTCTACAAATAATGCTACATTGTGGCGACAATAAAACTTCTCACAAACACCGATTCTGTTTACACTGGATGCAAAAGGGAGGGATCGTCAGATCTCTACGAGTAAAATGGTTTGGACGACATATAAATGATTGTATTTTTTCTTGGTTGAGAACTCACCTCGGCCGTTGAGGGCAGGAGAAGAGAGGGTTGGTGACTGTACGTGATTCTCCTCCACAGACTGACTGTTCATGGAGTCCAGACTAGGACGGGACTGTCTGGGAGGCAGTGGTGGAGGGGGAGGAGGTGGTGCACTTTCAGGACAGTCTATACATGTGGGGATCTCCGGAAGAGGAATGTCTGGAGCACTTCTAATTCTTTCTCGTGGAGCGTCTGGTCTCTCTCGTGAACTTTCTTTCTTGGGTTTAATGAATTTTGCTATAGCTTTGGCTCCAACCCACTGACGACTCCTGTGTTAAGATTAAAAGTACAAATGTTAAAACAGCCTCTTACACTTAGCAAAGAGAAGCTTAATTTTATAAATTAAAGGGCCTGAAACTACAAACTTTTACTTTGAGAAGATTTTAGATGTAAGTAATGGACTCACTTTTTAGGAGTTGGGTCATAAAACTTGTACTGGTCCATGATCTTCTCCTCGAGTTTTTCTTTCTGTCGTCGTAATGAATTCAGCTTATCACTGCAAGAAGAAATAAACGATTAGTATCAAGACATTTGGAGCACAATTCCTAAATCTCTTTTTGTTTTTAGTTCCCGCTCAAATATATTCATATTTACAGTATTTTTTGAAACCACAATGAAAAGTGAAAAACCAAAAGTTTTGTTTTCGCATTGTAGTATTGAAAACAAACAACGTAGATTGTAGTTTTTTGTTTTGGTCGATAAATAAATAGAGGCCAGTTTGAGGTAAATCATAAAAAAGTTAAGGTTTATTTATCCTAATGATTGAAAGTTTTATCACATATTTTGTTTAGAATTTTTTGATTAAAATTATGAGAATCATTTTACAAAAAAACAATCACTTTTTTCCACTCAATTTAGAAAAGAACGTAGTATGCCATTAAAATAACTTGCTTCGGGGATTTCATTAACTAATGTATTTGTACCTTCTGTTTTCTAACATTAAATGTGCCATAGAATGAAAAATCTTCATATATGGATCATAAATTTATTTAGCGGTCTTCAAAGATGTCTGTAGGTTTTGTTGGTTTAACATGTATATTAAAGCAATTTGCAGTCTATGCAGTCTATGTAGACTGCTGAATACGTGTTTACAGCACGTTTATGCATCATGTCATATCACTCAGCTCTTACTGTGATTTTTCTGGAGTGAAAGAATAGCACAAAACTGTGAAAAAAAACTGTGAAAAATCTGTTTATGCAGAGGTTGATATTAACTACTATTTTTCATACAGGGTAAAACCACAAAATACAACTGTATACAAGATCTCTATTGGCTCTTTTTGTTGAATATAATTATATTTTAGTCTATATTTTGTTTATATTTCACTTACTCCTCCTGGCTAAAATAAACTTGATTATGTTGGATGTGTACATATTAGAGTACATAAGAATACTGAGCTCAAAGGGGTACAGGCACATAGACTTAATTTCAGTCAGCCAGCCAGCCCCAGGCTCTCCAGTGAATTGCCATGCCATACAAAAATCGCTGCGTTTAAGATCTGATTCTTTAAAAAAAAAAAAAAAAAAAAAACAGCGATCTTCACTGCCTGGCTGAGATATAATATAAAATGGGACAAGATCAAACAAGAAGCATATAGCCAGCTGCTAATGACTGCGGTTAAATGGTATTTTCGGCACTTTTTTACGATTTAACAACCAAAAGGATGTTTAGGTATATTTGACTGATTATATTTAAATTACATTACAACGTCGATGCTGTAAGCAGAATCTTATGAAATCGAAAATAGTCCATATTCATATTCGTATAGCCCATATTCACGACCCTTCCAAATATGGTCAAAAGCAACCATATCATATTAGGGACAATTCCTACAGTAGTAAATAGACCTGTAAAACCTTTCACACTATTCGAAAATACATCGCTTCTATTGAGATATCAGAAAACAATTGAACATATATCAATGCATTTTATGGCACTTTTAACAATAAAAAGTCCAATCAAACATTCAACAATTAAAAAAAATCTAATAATGATTGATTCAAAATATTTAACAATATGCTCACATGTACTGTTTTTGCTCCTCGTGGTAAAGTTCTTTACTCTCCATTGTTCTCTCCAGCAGGGTCTGGTTTTGCTGGCTGAGCATCTGGATTTGGCTGAGAAGATGATGGTTTTCCTCCTCCAGGTTTCCTTTCAAACGGGTTAGCAACTAAATAGAGGAAAGAGGATCAGGAATCAGTATTTAGTCCTGCTTGCTATGGTGTATACAGTAGTTGCAGAAGCTGCTGTAGGATCTCGCTCACCTCACAGTGGTTGTCCAGTTTGGTCATGGAGATGTCCAGGCCCTGGTGCTGCTCTTTCAGCTGGTCATAGCGTGCCTGCCAGCGGTTCAGCTCCAGCTGAGACTCATTCAGAGAGGTCTTCAGCTCTTTGGTCTGCAGTTGCAGGCTGTCGTACTCTTGCCTCAGCTGTGTGTGCATGTGTGACACTCTACAGAGACAGAAAACAGACTCAGATGGAGTCATTTAATATACGATATCGTTATATACTGCAAAATTATAGTCAAAGTCAGATTTATTTCGAATTCAACCACATGTGCAGAACATACAGAGAATCGAATACTCTTAGACCCTAGGAGCCTAACATATAATATTAATACAAAAAGTGGAATTTTAAAACTGCATTAAATACAATTACACATATAATATAAGAACATAAGTAAAAATGAAATATTATAAATGACATATACTGTGTGATGGCATGTTATGTACATAATATTTTGCACATATAACTGTATGTTCTGCCAATACTACGAACAAAATTAGATTTTACAAGCGTAGAAAATGAAAATAAAGTGTTTAAATGTGTCTAAATAATAATGAACCACTGTGATTCAGTGTAAATAATACATACATATAAAATCAAACAACATACTAAATACTTTTCAATTCTATTGGATTTTGAAGAATTGAAACCTGATGAAAAAATGGGTAAATACGGTGTCATTAAAAATGACAATCAGCATTTAGGACTACACTGTGATTATAAAGTCTTTATAAACTCCTTCAAATGTGTCTCTCAATATTTTTGATATATAAACTAATAATATAAGACTTGTAGGTATATGATTGACATTGTAATGGATGTCTTCTGTAAATCATACTTTAAAGATATTAGTTATTATTATTTATTGGCAGTTCATTGGTCATAAAAGTCTCAATAGTATTAATTATAATATAATATAATAACAATAATATGAACTATTATTTATAACAACTAATTATTATTCATAATAACTTAAAAAGTCTCAATAATATTACTATATAATAATAATAATAATAATATTAGTTATTATTATTTATTGGCAGTTCATTGGTTGTAATTTTAAATAGGTACGAACTATTTTTAGTTATAACCAATTAACTGCCAATAAATAATAATAACTAATATTATTGTTATTTTTATTATACCAAATTAAATAACAATGTGACACTACAGCCTAGCCACTGCATTATTGTGCACAGGTCTACTGTTGTGCTAATGAACTGCTGTAGTCTATTCCAGCCAGCAGAGAGCAGTAAATAATAACCATGAATTTCCTCGCCCACGTTTCCTCACTCGCACATGTTTTCAACTGGAAACGGAGTGTGTTGTATTATTAAAAACCCTTTCTAACCTGTCTACTTCTTCCCTCAGACTGCGATTCTCTCCCAGGATAAGTGTGTTTTTGCGAATTTCCTCTCCTAGACTTTCTCTGTCCCTTTGCAAAGATTCCTCCAGTGCCTCCATAGCGTCCTTCTGCTTCAGAAGAACCATATACCTGTTCAAAACAAACCAACAGAGAGGTTTAAACATTGAGCGCACAAACAAACAGCTAATTAATATTCAGCAGTAAAAGAAAAAAAAAAATCAGGTTTTCCCCATGGGATTTAGTCAAGGAAGATACCATATTCAATTAGATGAAAATTACTTTGACTGACAGCTGTCTTTCCAAATGTGTTTGTTTTCACGGAATTATTTATTTAGTCAATGAAATTATGCAGTGAAATACAGAAAAGGTCTTTCCAAATCATTCCCAGTGACCAAAAAAAAGCTCTGAAATTATTTAAAAGTGTCTTAGGATTCAATATAGTATGAGCTAATGAACAGACTTTACCTTTATCCATCACAGCCAGAGATGAGCAGTATTTATGATGTGAAGTATTTCAAACACGTATAGTAAAACACAAAATCGTATTTTGTAATCTGCATTTAATAAGGTTTATGAAAATGGCTTAATATATTGTATCAAAATACTTTAGTGTTTTGTAATTTGGAAATACTTTGTATGACATCTACATGACGACATCATGAAAACGTGGCCTTTAATAGCAGTGGTTTCTCAGTTATTTGCCAAGGTTTAAGATCAGACTACAAAATTGATTAATATGGAAGAGGTTGATCAATTCTTGGAGTATAAATCGAAATTATGCACCACAAATAAAGAAAGAAACAGAAAAAATAGCAGGGGTAGATTCTGGAGCAGGTCAAAATCAGACAGGAAAATAAGACAGCAACATTAAAAAGTCAATACAGTGGCGATACCTACAAAACTCTATTGGCTGTTTCAAATGCCAGTAGCTGATCTGCAGGTGCCCTCTATAAATAGTTAATTACAAACTTTGACGCACACATTGTTAAACACAACAGTTAACTTTATCAAATGAAATGAGTGCAGTTAACTCTTTTTTCTGTAAATGAACTCATTTGAATAGAGTTTTGAACTCAGTGTTGCTGTGTGAAGCTGTTGATACTGTTCGTGGAGTTGTTTAATGATCCTCTACTACGATTTTCAGAGATTGAACTTGTTTTATTTCTGTTAATGATGTGACTGAGGTCTCTGTAGTTGTGTGTTTCTCTTCAATAATTCTGCTTGTTAATAGCAGGAGTTCATCATTAATGCTCAATCAAGACTTACTTTATCACTTAAATACCTCATTACTTCAACTTAAATGGAGTAAGTTCACAGTACTCAGATTAGTTTTTTAACTCAAATAGTTTGTTGCAGTCGGTTTCCTCAAATGGTTTGAGTTGCCTTAACTTATTGGGTTTTACAGTACTCAGTTGGTTTGAGTTCTCTTCATTTACTGGGTTTTACTGTGCTCAAAATGTGTCATGTACTCAGATGGATTAACTTCACAGTACTCATTAGCATTAGCTTTTGAACTTAAATGGTTTGTTGCAATCAGTTTCCTCAAATGTTTTGAGTTACTTTTTGGGTTTTACAGTGTAGTTAATCAGTAGGAGACAAAAATATTGAACAATACTCTAGTCTACAGACTGGACAAAAACTCAGGTTTTATAGCAGCAAAAACAGAGAGCTTACAGTTTGTTGAGATATCGTGTTTTGAAGAGTACATTTGTAAAAAATATATATATATATATAAATAATAAAAATGATTTATGTAAATAACTAAAACTAGAGATTTTAGTAGTTTTCAGAAATTGTAATTTTACATTGTGTATTGCAACCCCCCCACCACCCACCCCAAAAACAACAACATTGATTTATTTAACAAATTAAGCAAACAAAAAAAAATACCAACCTTTTAATATATCACCCTTTAAAAATATAAGACTGTTAAGAGATGTTGGCAATTTTCACTATAGACAGGGATATAGTAAGAGATATAGTACTAATTTCCAACTCATTATCTGCATTATATGGTTTAACAGTGATTAAAGAAAACCTCTTCAAGATGACTTTCTGTATGAAATTTTTACAAATTCTATACTAAAATTAAAGAAAAACACAAGTTTTTCATGAATGCCTCCTCATGTATAGTAGAGGTGAGTGAGGTGCAGAGAAGCTGAATTATACTTGATTAGAGAAAAGCAGTTGCTGTCAGACATTGTTTACTTCACAGTTGAATGGTGAAGGAACTGATCAAATAGGCCTGTTGATGGAAGGTTTGTGAAGAAATGTTATGCTCCCTTGTAAAAGTATTTCCAAAATACAAAATACAGTATTTTAATGATACAGTTGTGGCTGCTGTATTTGTAGTTTATTTGGATATGGAGGTATTTGGTATTTTATTTGAATACATTTTAAATGTATTTTTGCACAACCCTGATCACAGCTACATTTTCATATCTGTCAAATTACAAATGGCATCCAGACAGAAGTCCACAGAGGATTCACAAGCACTTAAAGGAATTGTGATGTAACTATGAATGCCAAATTTAATTTGATTTTTATTTTGCATATTACAGGTAAGAAAATAATAAATTAGTAAGGTGAAATCAAACAATAGGTTTTATTAGTTTAATTCTTTATAAAAATATATAAAGAGCAGCACTTTGATGATATTAAAAAAAATGTTTTGTTTACACTTCAAAATAATTTCCATAATCTTCAAGTCATTATTATTAATTGTTTTCTAAACATTTTTCTTATGTTTTATGACAGGAATAATAACAACAATAGCTAATATTTGTATTAATGTTGTTGTTGTTGGTGGTATTATTATTATTATTATTATCATCATTACTATTATTATGATCAAAATATCATTATTGATAAATTTTAATTAAAGTTAAAAATATATTATTATTAATTTATTGTATTTTCAAAATATTATTAATATTTCTCCATTAAAATTTAAAATATTATTAATATTATCATCATTATTATAATCGTAATAATCATATAATAATAATTTGTTCATTTATTGTACTCCAAAATCTAATTTTTGACCATTTTAATTATTTGTGGAGATTTTGCAATATTTATTAAAGCTTATCAGGACTTCAAATCTATAGGGTATTTCAAATAAATAATTGAAGTCACACAGAGTTCATCTGACAGAAAAAAACCTGGGATGTTGTTTCATATGCCAACACTCCAAAATGCGGCTGTATTGTAAATGGATGGTGGTAATTTAAATACATCAAGTAATTAGTAAATTGAATGTGGGTGACATGTGGCGTGCTGGACATGAACGTTGAAGCCGGTGGACATTACAGCTGATTGGGGCCCTGACAGCCATCTGGTGGAGCCCTCGGCCGAGGCCCCCAGAGACACACTGCTGCATTATTCATTAGACACCGAGATAAAAGAGGCAGGGGGAGACTACACAACTACATTAAGGCAAACTCCACAATGTTTTTCCTGTCTTTAACAAAAGGAACAACTTTCCACACTGCACCATGGAAAAATGAGTGCGACAGGCACGCGTGAGAGGATTACTGAGTGAATTAGAGTGTGTGTGTGTGTGTGTGTGTGTGTGTGTGTGTGTGTGTGTGTGTGTGTGTGTGTGTGTGTGTGTGTGTGTGTGTGCGCTCATTAATGTCTCCAGATAAAAATAATGTACATTTTCCACTGTGACCTTCCTCTAAAAAAACACTCTGATTCCCAGAAGGGACGTTTCACAAGCAGCACCACCAAAATCCAAACATTTAAAAAATATATTCCAAGACAAGTCCGGTATTTAATGTCTAAAAATGTTACTCAAAACATGCCGTATAGTTGCTAGACTATTAGCTAACGACTTACTTTAAAATGAACTAAACCATGCCCATTTCTGATCTCCCAAAAATGAAAACATGTTTTGCAATCGATTGGAATTGCAAAAATAGGACGTTCTCCCCCATTCTGCTTCATTTTCTTCTGCAGAACACAATAGATGGACACTGCTGAGTTATTGAGCTCTTCTATAGGTGTCAGCTTCTGATTGTTTCTGTCTGCTTGAGAAGGCTGAGGAGAGTAGAGTAATGAGCTGCGTCTGCTCTGAATGGAGACGCCACAATGACCCCAGACCATTAGGAGAGCTGACACTGACTGAGATCTTCAGAGACAGGGGGCCCTTAAAGAGACAGTTCACCTCATATACACTCACCGGCCACTTAATTAGGTACACCTTTCTAGAACCGCCTTTTGCCTTCACAACAATCCTTCATGGAGTAGAGTCAACAAGGTACTGGAAATGTTCCTCAGAGATTTTGGTCCATATTGACATGATGGCATCACGCAATTGCTGCAGATTTGTCGGCTGCACATCCATGATGCGAATGTCCCATTCCACCACATACCAAAGGTGCTTTACTGGACTGAGATCTGTTGACTGTGGACATCATTTGAATACAGTGAACTCATTGTCATGTTTAGGAAACCAGTCTGAGATGATTCACACTTTACAACACGGCACGTTATCCTGCTGAAAGTAGCCAACAGAAGATGGGTACACTGTGGTCATAAAGGAATGGACATATTTAGCAACAATATTCAGGTAGACGGTTATAATGTTCAATTTATACTAATGGGCCCAAAGTGTGCCAAGAAAATATCTCCAGCACCATTACACCACCACCCTGAACTGTTAATACAAGGCAGGAGGGATCCATGCTTTCACGTTGTTGATGCCAAATTCTGACCCTGTCATCTGAATGTCCCAGCAGAAATCGAGACTCATCTTCTGCTGCTGTAGCCCATATGCCTCAAGGCTCGACTTGTTGTGCATTCAGAGATGCCCTTCAGAATACCTCATTTGTAACGAGTGATTAGTTGAGATATTTTTGTCTTTCTATCAGCTGGAACCAGTCTTCTCTGACCTCTGGCATCAACAAGGCATTTGTGCCCACAGAATTGCTACTCACTGGATTTTTTTTCTTTTTCGGACCATTCTCTGTAAACCTTAGAGATGGTTGTGGGTGAAAATCCCAGTAGGTCAGCAGATTCTAAAATGGCACCAACAATCATGCCACGTTCAAAGTAACTTAAATCACCTTTCCTTCCCATTCTGATGTTCAATTTGAACTGCAGCAGACTGACTTGACCATGTCTACATGCCAAAAATCCCTTGAGTTGCTGTGATTGGCTGATTAGAAATTTGCATCTACGAGCAGTTGGGATGGGTGTACCTAATAAAGTGGCCGGAGAGTGTATGTTGTCATCTCTTGCATATCTTTTTTTACTGGATATCCCTACTTATTTAATTATCTGAAATATAGTGTGATGTCTATTTGTAAAATGTTGCATAGAGTTGCACAATGAATCTTTAAAAGAGCAGCTTTATGCCTCATTTCCAGTGTTTTGTATTATGTAGTGCAGTACGGGTCACTCTGATCAGGTTTTTGTTTCCACTGACAATAGTACCCTTAGTTGCGTATGCCAGAAAGTTGATCAGCATGATTTTCAGGAAAAAACCCCACATGGCCTGTTCACATCAATTTTGTCTTTTGCGAAGTAAAGTTCATCTTTTCAAATAATGTGCAAGCGTGCGCTAAAAAACAGAGGAAGTGACGCAACTTGTGCTTTCCACACATGCTCTAATCCTTTTGGAGGGTCCCTCTGACTAGTAGTCTGATTAGAGTATAGGGATGAGCCCTTCATAATTTTGTGCAGTGTGACTCTAAATAGCTTCCCTAAGCTTCCCCTTAAAGGATAATTTCCTTAAGTGCACATCAACTGTATTTTTCTAAATCCTTCATTCCAAAGAGCCCAGTTTTGATCACTGCTATTTGGCACTTCAATATGGCTTCCATGATTTTTCACTCCGATGTGCCCTTTGGAGGTTGATATATCTCATTTGGAATGCGCTATTAGGCTTTGCAAACAACAATGGAGGACATACAACAAACACTGTTCTTGCTTTTTGGCTATTTGTCACTAAAAGACAACAAGCTATGTTTAAGCACAGTTTATTGCTGCGCACCATCACTATATTATAACAATGTCATCAAAATGTCACTTCCTATGTTGACATTCCTCTGGCTTGCTGCACAAACAAGTGACGATTCTCAGTAAACCAATAGCCTTCATCAGTGAGTATAGCTCCACACTTTCAGTAGTGTAACGTTGTGCTATAAAAAGTGGTATAGTGCAGTTTGCTGTTTTGGCATCTTTGAAAGTGAACACAAAATCATAAAAACAGGCCATAAATGAAAGTCAGCCTGAACTGGGGCTTTCTCTTGCACATCATTATCTAATAGCAAACTAACGGTAAGAGAGGCATGGTTAAAAATGCTAATATACAGTAGCTATCGAAGCTCTCAGGTTGATGACAACAGAAGAAACTCCACTCCAAAGATGAAAGCAAATGGTCTGATTTTGATTACCAAAACAAACTTTTTTTTTCAGAGGATTAACCTGGACGGATTCATTATTTACCTTAAAAATAACAATGTGAGCTAACAAAAAACATTGTAATTTATGATTTCACATGGACTTCTACTGGTTTCGTTTGGGAGGAAAAAAATCTCCCATTAAACTTAAAAGAAATAGAGATTTCACATTTAGTTAGTTAATTATCGATACTGACTGACAGGAAACAAAAGTCAAAAAGTGACAGCACCCTATCCCTGCTGTTATCATTGATAATTATCAATAAAAGAGTCTAGTATGCAGTGTATATAATCCACAGAATCTTATGATTTTAAATATATGTATAATCCCATAATGTCTGATATACAGCATTTTGGAAAGGTAAAATCGTAAAAGTTGAAAGGCACTGACTTGTTCTCCAGTGTGCGGTTTTCTTGCTCCAGAGCTCTCTGGCTGGCCTTTAGTGCTGCATGTTGAGCAATGAGCTGCTCGTACTCGGACGCCTGGCGTTCATGCACACCTAACAGACGCTCATGGTCCTGTGTGACTCGATCACGGGCCGCACTCGCCTCCTCTCGCTGTTTCTGCAGAGACTCGGCCTCCGACTCCAGAGTCTGCAGCTGAGCCTGTAAAGCTCCATACTGAGCCATGAGAGAGGAGCTCTGAGAGCTTAGAGTCGAGTTTTCCACCTGAACAAGAAGATAAAAGGGAAAATAAAACATTTAAAGATTCCCTCTTAGTAGTTTCAAATTTTAAGTTGCGATATTGAAGGCAAAAAAGCTTATTTAATGCACTTGTCAATTTTGAGATTTTGGGCATTTGGGCTTTCCACAAAGTGTTTCAGTCTAATGCAGAGAAACATCCAGAATAGACTTTTAAAGCAGTTCACCCAAAACTGAAAATTCTGTCATCATTTACTCACCTTTGTTTCAAATCTGTTTGTCTGTCTATCTTAATTTTTTTCAGTTTTTCTTTCCATACAAAAGCTGGAAACCTGTAACCATTTTCCTCCTATGGGAGTCAATGGTTACAGGTTTTCAGCTTTCTTCAAAATATCTTTTTATGTTTAGTAGAAGAAAGAAACAAAAAAAAAAAAGTTTGAAACCACTTGAGGGGTTTTAAAAAGTAAGTAAATTAACATTTTTGGCCATGAACTATCTTTTTAAGTGTTTCTATTAGGGATGCTCCGATTAGGATTTTTACAGAGTACCAATTTCTTTTCATGGTGATCAGCTGATTCAGAGCACTAATTCTGATGCTTCAAGCTTTATATAACTTTGCCATTGCATAAAGCACATTTTCCCTAAGTATAATAGGTCTACTTAAGTGGAGATTTCTTCTTTTCGTGTGAAGAGAATAAATGAGGGACGTTGCTTGTGATTATTTCTTATGACCATTTAGAGTGGACATATCATGGTCAGAAGCAGAAAATGCATCAATAAACTACTGTTTATTGCAATAAGTAAATTACAAGTTTATATATATACATTAGGGATGTAACGGTATTGTAAATACCGTCATACCGCAATATAAATTTTTTTCGATATTACCATGACTCGGTAAAACTATAGGTCTTCTGAGAAAATTTGCTCAGGCGAATGAAGCGAACGGGAGGTAGCGAAAACTACAATTCCCATCAGCCCATGCTTGACCATCATCCTTTGCGGTCTGTTGTCGCTTCAGATCCAGTAATGCGGAAATGGAGTGTGCTGCTAGAAGCGGGGATGAAAAAGAGCTGGAAAACTCTAAAGCGGGTGTTGTTGCCGCGCGCGTACTGAATAGCGGTGTTGTCGCGCGAGTTCTTATCAGCTGTGTTGCCGCGCGCGTACTGAATAGCGGTGTTGTCGCGCGAGTTCTTATCAGCTGTGTTGTCGCGCGCGTACTGAATAGCGGTGTTGTCAGCACACTGTTCAGATTGATGATGAGACCTCTATCTTACTCATGGTTTGTCCTCTCAAGTGGGGGAAAGACAATGCACAACGTTACCCACTGCTGTAAACCTGGGCCAAGTCATATCTCTCTTGTCACAGAAACCTCAGTCCCAAATGAGAGGGTTTTTTCTGTTGCAGGGGACATTGTAAATACCCAGAGATACCAGCTTTTACCAGATTATATTTATATGATAATTTTCCTTTAAACCCATCTCTATCTAAGTGAGTGAGTGATTAAATGTTGAATTGATGAGTTTTCAACAATACTAAATTGAAACTTAATTTTTTTTACATGGTTTAATATTTTTTTGTTATTAAAATTGAAGTTCCTGTTTCAAAGCTTACAGATAGATGGCTAATTTGTATGTCATTGACACTTTTGGCACTTTTTTGGAGTATTTTCATAAGTTTTGTTTTTTCCTGTAAATGATTCAATAAATACCGTACCGTGACATTCATACCGAGGTATTACCGTACCGTGAAATTCTGATACCGTTACATCCCTAATATATATATATATATATATATATATATATATATATATATATGTAACATAGGTGTGTGATAATATTTTCCGCCATGCTTTAGAGATTGCAATATTGTAAAAAACATAGAACTTTCAGTTCTTATATTTAAAAAGGTCTAAACACATGTAAGGTCATTCCTAAATGTAATGGAGAGCCCCAGAGCAGCTTGATTGATCTACGAGAGGGGGGGATTTGCACCTGAGATATCTTTACTGATCTATTCATTTATTCTAACAGTTGTAATGCTTAGAACATCACTGTGCCTCTCGCGAACTGTTCTCTTGCTCACTGACTCTCATCACCAAGATTTCTGGGGTATTTTATCTCATTTGCAGGCGTCACAGACCCACTATGAATATGCAGGTGGAACTTCTGGAAGAGATAAAAAATTAAAAGATAAATAGGGGTGATTGCTCCGCTCGTGTCACACCATGCTAAAACACTGGATATACAACGGTTGCAACAAACAGACCATAGCTTGTGCGAGTCGCGCCAATAAACTGTATAAACAGGGTTCGCACCGCATCTTTATGTATTTTTGTTTATAAATAGTCGGCTGAATATATACAATTTTATTCACAAAACTATTGCATTTTTCTGGCTGTTTGCAGCAGATTATGTAGAATTTACTGATAAAAGAAGATTCCAAAAATCGAATATTTAAAAATAACAAATCTTTTGAACCTGACTATCCAATGTCCAGATTTGTGAACTAGTATGCAATTTATTCAGAACGATTAAAGTTTGTTTTATACCCTATTTACCAGCAGTGTCTTGCCTTAAGCTAAAAAAAAACAAGCATTCAAGATAATGAAATTGAAAATACTGTGAACAACCTATTCGACTCTTATGTAGTAAAGAAACCCATAAAGGTCTGGAATGACTCAGCAATGAGTAGATAACAGAATTTTATTTCTGGGTAGACAATCCCTCTCTTCAAAGCAACTGTCTGTCTTGCTGTGGGTCAGAGGTGAACAGTTGAACATTCAGATTTGGAAACATCAATTCTACTGTCTGTTGTGTCACACCTGCCAACTCTTAGTCCCCGAGGTCACAAACTTGCTCTGGAAGGGCCCTTAAACCAGCAGCAGCAGCATAAGTGTAAGAGCGGCATCCTCACCTGTTCTTTCTTTCATATTTCCCTGGTTAGCAGTTACAGGATGAGCTACTTTATATCTATTTGTCTGGCCATATTATTTTTTCAGCTTTAAAATGGTATGAAAACTGTGCACTGAATCTCAGAATATGTTCATAAAAACGGAATGTACTGTATAATGTGGAATTACATGCACAGATTTGGCAAATTTTGGATGAATCAATTAAAATGAGGGCTGTGCACCAAATGAAACGACAATATTGACTAGTGTGGGCATTCTATTGTCTGTGAAAACAGCAGTTTTGTTTGCTACGCTCATTTTTCAGAATTCATCTCACTGTATGAAGTGATTGTAGACATCAAATTCATCTTTCAGAGCTGCTCAGCTAGTTACTTTTTGCTACTGTGAGAATTCAGGAAATTCTTTGTGCGTGTTCATATTCAAAGCATATTCACAACAAGCCGTCAAAACAAAAGCTTGAAAATGTGGTGACAGAAATATAGGCTTAGGACTTTTGCACAGTAAAATGTACTTCTCAATCCAATATTATTTATGATCAAGGCTTGACATTAACACCCACCAACCCGCCAAATGCGTGTAGATTATAGCTGTGGTGAGTTAGAGAGCCGCTCCCACTAATAATTAATAATAAAATACACGAAATGTTAATTTATGACCGTATGTCAATATGTGTGCAAATGTGATCTTAGAATTGAGAAGCAGTATGACGAATAAAAATAACTGTTTGCGAGAGCAAAAGAAAGCAGGTAAAAAAAATTAATCAGAGGACCATGTGCACGGTGAGACAAAGGAAATCAAGACAAGGGCGTTAGTGTCATTCGCACAGTTGAAGTAATGCGTGTAATTGTTTTAAAAGCGTGCGCGCTCTTGCTTCCTTGTGCAAAGCAACCATGCCTGGAAACACATGCCTGGTTCTCTTTGAAATGGACTGGAAAAAAAGCTAACGCAGCAACAGTCCTGCTATTTTCAAAAGCTTGAGATTCTTTGTAAGCAGCAGTGGTTGCCACTTTCACTTTAACCATTCTTTCAACAGATTATTAATGGGCCTAACGTTAACTGTGTGTACATGATCATGCTTTTTCACTTGCTTTCTTTTGTTTACAGTTATTTTCAGTAAGGGTTTAATTATCACCCTTTACAATAAAATTGCTTTAATAGAAGATTAACTCTCTATTTATACATAGTTAACTTGTGATCTGGGAAATTTAGCCATGACAGACCACTGTGCATAGTTTTAGATACATGATATTACATTTTTAGATTTGCGAATAAAAAGTGCATGTATACAGTAATATTGTGCTTGTTTTGCCACATTATTTAAAATTTGTGGCAAGGAAATAATTGGTTTGGTGTGGCCAGAGAAAAAAAAAAGGGAAAATCCTGTTGAGCCCTGAAAAATCATGTGAAATAAAACTAATTGCAATGCGACACTTTGCTCATTGAGTAAAGACATACAAAACACACAAAAAAAACTTCAAGAAACGAGGAGGCATGAGGACATAACACAAAATATATTTTCACAACAACAAAATTGTGGCTAGTGAAAATGGCGAGTGACTAGTAACATTGAAAAACAATTAGCCACAGTGGTGGATGACAAAGAAGTTAATGCCGAGCCGAGTTAATGATAAAAAGCATTAAAATGTCTGTAAAGAAAAAAGAAACAACAAACAACTTGTCTTCCTTGTTTAAAAGAAACAATAATAAATTGGAAGAAAAACTAAATATACTTTAAAATTCAGTAATCATTGAAGTTGGAAAACCAAAAATAATAATTGCAATCTTGAAAATCTAAATTGATCACACTTTATAATAAATAAATTCATAATTAATTAATTAATAAAACATCTATTTTTATTAAGATATATTTAAACAGAATTCAGACAGCTGTGAGAATCAAGAAACATAAAATAAATTAAAATAATAAATTTAAAAATCTGAAATAAAGGACCTTGCTTTAAACTTTCTACATCTCAAAACGTAAAATTCAGTGACATCGTTTACTATTTAAATTTATTTATCATTAGTCACAATAAACAACTTATCTTTGACTATGTTTGAGAATCAATGTTTACTTTTTTAACAGAATTTACTTAGCAAAAAACTTTAATTGATAATCTTAAGCATGATTGTTTAATTTATTAACAGTCCTATGTTTTTATAAGAAAGAAATCTGCACGAGAAAGGCCAACTGCATCTAAAACTAGCAAATCCTAACTAATACCGATTTTTAATGTAATATGTCTGACCACTGTACCTGGAGTTTAGCTGTTTCTTTATGGAGAGACGTGTTGTGTTCTTGTAGGGATGCTGCCTGTTTCTGCAGCGCTAGTGTTTGTGCGTTGAGCTGTGCGTTTTGAGAATCAATTTGCTTCAACTGATCCTTCAGAAGATATTTCTCTGTCTGTAGAGCAGCATTCTGGAGAGAATCACAAAAGCAGATTACAATACTGAAGATGACCCTGTGTATGTCAATAGAAACATGCCGTTGCCTTACATTCTTCTCAACATCGATCAGTCTGTCTTTGAGCTTGAGCAGTTCAGCCGTGGCCTCCCTCTGCTCCATCTCCCACTTCTCTTTATCTGGGAGTGATCTAGTCTGTCCCAAAGTCTGCTGGGAGATCTCAGAATGGGCTGCTTCTTCTTCATGCCTTTGCTTGAGGGCTTCCAGATTCTTCTTTACCTGGAAGTGAATGGAATGAATGATAACGTAAGGCACCAGAGACTCCCTTCAATCATTTTGACATTTAAGGTTTGAGAGCGTACAGTGGTGAGTTCGGTGCGTAGTTGCTGGTTTAAGCTGCTGCTCTCCTCCAGCCGAGACTCCAGGCTCTGGATCTTCTCTTCTCTGAGCTCCAGAGTTTTCTTCAGTGCTGACTCGATCTTGGTCTCCAGGATCTTATATTTACTGAAAGATGAGAAAGCACAGGGTCGGTATATGAAAGCAATAAGCCGTGGTTCACAGTGAATTTAGAAGAGTTAAGGTGTGTTGTTAAGCTCGACACTTAGTTGTGCCCAAAACACATCACGATGCAGCTCTGTGCCTAAAACTACCTTAGATGTTAAAAATTTACTGTAAAACACAGCTTCACTGGGATTATTGCTTCTATAAAAAGTGTATTCCATAAACCTAAAAAGAGTTATAAAATAAACAAACCTAATAAAATGTAGTACTTGTAGTGGAATGGTTACCATAACAGTCATAGGTGTGTGTTTGTAGAGTATTGAAACTCTTTAAAGGTCCTCTGTAGTGCTTTGAAATGTGCATTTTTTATTTGCTGCTTCACGCAATCTCAACCGTAAAATCAAGAGAAGGTGGGAAATAACGCAGCTACTCGCCTTTAAAAAAAGCAGCCAATAGAATTTACTTTTTTTTTTACAGCTTTGCCAGTGAGAGTGCTTCAGATAAAATGAAAAGCAAATGAGAAGCGTCTTGAAGGGGGTGGGGCATACATGCTACATACATACATACATACATACCATACATACCATACCATCCCATACATACATACATACATACATACATACATACATACATACATACATACATACATACATACATACATACATACATACATACATACATACATACATACATACATACAATCATACAATCATACAATCATACATACAGAGAATTTGATTGGTAAAGTTTGAGGTGTTGTGAAAAAAAATAGTTGATACATTTTGACTGCTGTGATGCACACTAGCTAATAGTTATGCTTGAAACTAACAAACTGAAAGTAACATCTTAAAAAAAACTTTTGTTTTTCGTTTAATTTGACGGGATCTCTAAAGGTTCACGGTGGTTTTTTTTTACATGCACTTTTAATTTCTCTTTGCTATTTGGGCTTATTGGAACCTAATGAGAATAAAAACCTAAGTATCATTTTTGATATGATGTACTTTTAGAGAAAAATTATGTCCATATATGTGGACTCGTGGTCCGAATTTACATAAAACACTTTTTTTTTTTTTACAGTTTTTTATGCATATTCATCATGTACATTTTTTGAACATGTTAAAAACAAAAAATGTTCTCATTTTAGACAGTTAAAAATAGTGTTTGAGACATTTCATATGCTGCAAAACAGTTGCAAGATGACACTCTATGTCTGTAACAAAATATAAAACATTCAAAGTATTTTAAACAGTCACTTAAGAGCTAAAATGTGCTGTCCACATATGTGGCCACTAAGCCCTAATAATTTCTCAGTAATTTATTATGTATTAAAGGGCACCGATACTGAAAATCAGCTTTTGTTAGCCGTTTGGACAAAACTGTGTTTTGGTATAGTGCGTCCACAATCATACTGGAGTGATATAAAGACAATGAGACTTTTTCTTTTTTTTTTATTTCCTGATGTTAAAATAGGATCCAAATCCCTTACATTTTCAGGCCCACCGCAACATGACAGGGAAGTGTGGTTTCCCTGCCCACCAAATTGATTGACAGCTGCATATTAACGCGTCTTTGTAGTAACGCATATAATCATATCGACAAAACAGGACGTGCCCAAAGCAACCGGGATTAAAAAATCAGTTCAGCTCTCTGTGATCATCAATCATCATCAAATGTGATCAAGAATGAGTTTTACAAGTTTAAACGTTTTCAAAATAGTGCATGTTCGTAATGAATTACAGCGATTTTGCCGTCTTTTATCACCACAGCTGCATGTCAGTATAATTATAAATGAAGATGCTTTAATCCTGGTTTGTGCAAGTTAAATCAGGTTCATTTTGTACATTACATAACAAATATCCATACAGCAGTGGATATTAATGTGTATCCAGTCACATTTGCCATGCAAAAACAGTGCAAAATTAAACGCACGCTATGTGTCCGTGTTGTGTGTCTGTGTGCGTGATCTTCATAATGACATTGTGTGTGACTCATCATTCTCATTGACTTATTAACTCCACAACAAACACATCAAATAATCATTGGAAAGTTATCTGACGCAGTCGAGGCAGAGATTGAGGTACACCCTGCAGGCACGTGGGAACAGTGGGCAGGGAGAACTAGCATTTAAGGCACAGGCAACAAAAACAGCAACATTGTGTTTAGAGCAGAAAATTTCAATATTCTAAAAGGTATAATAAACATTCGGATGGGTGTTTTAAGCTGAAACTTTACATACACACTATGGTGACACAAAAGACTCATCTTTAATCTTGAAACCGGTAAAATAGGAGCCCTTTGATGGGAATGAACTGGAGTGAAAGTGTTCATTATTGGCTCAGGACAGCTCATGGTGCATTAACTAATGTTAACAAATGCAACTGATTTTAGTGATTAGTAAATTTAGTATCAGTAGATTTAAATCTAATAGAAATAGCACATGTAGAACTGTTTTTACAACTGTTTATCACTGGTTCATGTTAACAAATGAACAATTATAGTAAAATGTAACTATAAACTTTTAATAGTCAACCATGTCTACAATTCTAAGAAAAAAAGTTTCATTCTGAATTAAATATCGTTTATACTATACACACACACACACACACACACGCGCACACGCACACGCACACACAATACCCGCTTCAAGGGATTACTAAGCACAATGGAATGCGACTGTTAGCAGTAAATTTTCTTCAAACACAAAGTGATTATCGTTTTATGACACTATTAGCTGACGAGAAACGTCTCAGTTGCCACAGAGTCACGTTCATGTCTTTTGATCTAACTTACAAATACATGTCACTCTCACCCTAATAAAAGCGTTAAACGTGGGAGAGAGGGTGAATCTACCTCTTTGCAGTGAAAAACGAATATTTCACTTCTGAGCCCTCTACAAGGAGAACACTCAAAACTAATTACTCAAAACTCTGGTCTCGATAGAAAGAAACATCAGACTATCAGAAGAAACACAGCACAACACCGCAAAGCTTCTGCTGACCATAATATATGTAGAGCTTATATCAGGTCATTAAATGGAGCTATATTAAAGACAGGAAAGTCAGCATGCACTTTGAGATCTAAGCCAATGAATAGTGTTGGGGAAATTCTGCTTTCAAATATTCTGTTTTACATTGTTGCGTAACTCAACACAAAAATATTAATAAATAGTAATAACAACAACAACAAAGTAGAAAAATGTGAATTTGTACTTTGTGCTATATGTAAAATTGTCAGAGTATTTTTTTTTTAATTGACTTATTGCTTAAAAAATTGAGCAGTCATGTTTAGAGTACTTTAATAAAATGTGTTGATTCAATTGTGGTGATATTCAAATGTGGTTTCTAAAATATTGATAAAATGTGCTTTATTTGTCAGTGTTATTGCACAAGATTTAAATTTGAGATTTTTCATTTGAGAATTTCTCAGTTTTTTTCTTTCTGTTTTTGACCATGGAGTACAGTTGTTTGTATGTTTGTTCTTAGGTACTTTCCAGACCTTTAATACATATATCTGAAATTCAAGTTCTTTTAAGTACTTTCAAGAAGCGTGGGAACCCCGTCTAACACTTCAAAAAAAGTGAAGACAAACCATGATGATTTGCAAAAACCTAACATATACTTTAGTTTAAATGTGTACAAATGCATAAAGCATAAGATGCAAATTTTGTCATCAAAACAGTAAATTAGAGAAAAAAAGAACAGAAACTAGACAAGGATCTAGTGCAAATGTGAGAAGTGCCAACAGTATGTTCAACCACACTTAAACAGAGTTTCAAAAGAAGAAAAAGAAGAAAAAGGAAACAAACACACTGCAAAAAAGGATTACTTCACCTAAAAATGAATATTCCCACACCGTTTCAAACCATTTTAGATGAATTCCAAGAGCTCCATTATCCTCTATAGCAGTGGTTTTCAAAGTGGGGGTCGGGACCCCCCGAGGGGTCGCGGGGGCAATGAAGGGGGGGTCGCCTGGTGATTTCCAAAAATCTATTTATTTTTATTAAACCATAAGAATTAACATATTTTATCCATAACTATACTGTTAATAAAAATAATTGTTTATAGTTACTATATACTATATAGTTACTATAGTAACTTATAGTTACTAGTTCTATTGGATTGCGACCCCTGGGGTAATTACATTATATTAAAGGCAGCAATAGCGTCAGATGCATTTTGATTTTATAACATCAGGTTATACTTTCTGGCACATTTAAAGCACTGACACAAATTTAATTGGTGTGTCTACGTCATTGCATGCAAGGTTTCTGTATTTATAACCACCTCAGAGGATATTGGGGGTCGCGAGTCACTGGCATTGTTATTTTGGGGGTCGCGGGCTGAAAAGTTTGGGAACCCCTGCTCTATAGCAGAGGTTCCCAACCTGGGGGCGCCAGAGTTTACAGGGGGGGCGCGGGAGAGGATAAGTATTGAGGAAGAAAAAGGCATAAAAATGCTCCACTATTATAAAGGGCTTTGCAATTAATCGAAAATCCGATTTAGATTTCGGTTTCAAACGATTATAAAAAAGCATTAATCGAGATAAATGGTTATTGCATCATATTTCGCCACAGTTGTACACGTGTTGCTCTTAAAAGCGCGAAAGAGCTTATGTGTGTGTGCAGCACGATCACGCAGTCAGAAGCATGCAGCCGGTCAGCATTCACTCTCATTCACACACTGAGACGAGCAGAGGAGCGCAGACATCTAAAGTCATCTTAACGTGAACGCTTTAATGGTCAAATAGGTGTCAAAACGCGGTGTTTAGTGATTATTTACATTAACCCTCATTTGTGTAATAAACAAACGAGTTGAGGATCAAAAGACATGAAAGAGAAACCATTAAAGAGACAGCGCGCTATAATCCTTCTGCCGCCTGTTTTTATCATTATTAAACAAACATAACGAGAAAACCCTCGCTGCTTTTGACTGAAGGACTGCTTTAGCTAAAGTGTTTTTCTTACAGTGAAGATGCTTAAAGCACAGTTTGTTTCATATTTTTATTATATTGTATTTATTTCTCTTTGCTTTGCAGGGTGGAAAATAACTGTATGTATACAGTTGAAGTCAGAATTATTAGCCCTCTTGATATAAGCAAACCTTTTCCTGCCCAATTTCTGTTTCATGGAAAGAATATTTTATTAACTTATTTCTAAACATAATAGTTTTGATATCTCATTTCTAATTACTGATTTCTTTTTGTCTTTGCTATGATGACAGCACATAATATTTTACTAGATATTTTTCAAAATACAAGCATTTAGATTAAAGTGCAGTTCAAAGGCTTAATTAGGGTAATAAGGCAAGTCATTATAACGGTAGTTTATTCTGCAGACAATCAAAAATATATATTGCTTAAGGGGGCTAATAATATTGACCTTAAATTGGTTTCAAAATATTTAAACCTGTCTTTATTCTAGCTAAAATAAAACAAATATTATAGGAAATACTGTTAAAATTCCTTGCTCTGTTAAACATAATTTGGGAAATATTTATAAAAAATAAAAATAAAAATCTCAGGAGCGCTAATAATTTTGACTTTAACTGGCAATGGTTTTGAATAATCGTGATTACAATTATGACCAAAATAATTGTGATTATGATTTTTCCCAAAATTGAGCAGCCCTACTATTATATATGTATGGGTTAGGGTTAAGTACCAAAAAAATAAAAAAATAATCTAAACACATGCGTAAAATTCCAACATAATAGTGAAAATAATTAAAATAAATAACTTTAAATAATTATTTTAATTTTGGTCACTCGCGCAATCTGCTTGTCGACGTGTCGTAAAGGCAAAATCAAAACAAAAATGGCAGACAAATGTAAATGCAGTGATTCTTCAGAGGCAAAGAAAAAGATTAGACAGTATGACAAAGCCTACCTAAATTTTGGTTTTATTGAAGGCCAAGACAAGTTAAAACTGATTAATTAATATTTTTTTATAGATATTACTATATATTAATATTACACAAACACACACACACACGAATATATATATATATATATATATATACATACACAGTACATATGTGTGTGCGTGCGTGTGTATTTATATGGTGGTGGGGCTCCAATGTTTGTATATGTTCATGGGGGGGGCCCCCAAGAAAAAGGTTGGGAACCACTGCTCTATAGACAGAAATGGTCAGGAGATGTTTTCAGTTTCTTTTCTGGACTTTAAACATCTCTGAATCATTGCTGTCTATGGAGAATGAGGAAGCTCTCAGATTTAGTCTAAAACATCTTAATGGGTTTTCCGAAGATAACAAACGTCTTTATTTAATAACAGAGTTAAAATTTTTGGGTCAACTAATACTTTAAAGGCAAAGTCAACAAATCGAGTAGAACCTCACCTGCTACATCTATCAGAAGGCAGCGTCCACATAAAACAAACAAGACAATTTACAGGATCTCACAACACCTTGCACTTTAAAATGACCCATTTAATATAAACCTGACAACAGAAACGAGTGATCTCGATTCATTTACTCAACAAACGTCACTCACTTGTCTTCACAGCTGTGCTCTTCCTGCAGGAGTTTTTCTCTGTTTAGGCCGATCTTCTCCAGCTCGTGACTCAGCTTCTCCAGTTCATTACACTGCTGCTGCACCCTCAGCTTTTCATTCACCAGCTCCTGTTCAGAACAATATACAAAACCAACATTCAGCTTCAGTGATACCATGCAGAATACCATGACAGACTCTTATGACTGTAGACTAAAGTCAATAATTCTATTAAAACCAACATGAATCCACCCATTCAAATCAAAAAGTCTTAACTTTATCTAGTGAACTGATAAACTTAATCTCTGGCAACAGTCTTCTTCCATTAGGTCTTTTAAAACTTGCTCCTTTCTTAAAATCTACTGCGATCTAGCAATTAGATCTGTCTTCATTCAAATTCAGTGATCCATTTCACTCAGATTAAGATCATAATGTGGAACAATTAATATGACGCTGCTTCCATTATTCAGAGTTTTTAAATAACTAATAATTCAAGCCTTTTATGAAAAGGAATAAAAAGTAATAAAAAGTCATGTATAAATAATTCAAGTTATTTTTAATGTATAAAATAATTATTCATATTAATCAATGATTAATTTTTACTTGATGGTTAGAATTTTCAAATTTAAATACCGACTGAGAAATCATATTTTTCGAAACAATATGAAACTACCATTACACTATAAAAATATAGCTGCAAGCAGCATTTAACGGGGCCAAGCAGCCCAGAGGCCACATTATAAACTAACATGGCAACAAGCTACAGGGGAAAATTCTATACCTTTTTTGCAGCATGTTCTGAGCCAAATTTGGTGGAAATTGGGCTAGCAATCTATGGAGAGTTCAAAACAACAGATTTTCAATCTAATTCAAGATGGTGGAAAGGAAGTTGTGTAAATTAGGGAATAAATTATTTCAATGTTCACAAATCAATGATACAAGGAATCTGCAAGACCAGTCTCATGACAACAGACAAAACTACTGAAAAGTCATTTGAAAAAGTTTAGATGATTTCTATTGATAGAATTTAATTGTCTGTCAATTTTACGCAGAAGGTGGCTGAAACTGACGTAGTTTGGTCAATGTCAAGTGTAGTTCACACACATTAAGTTTGGTTTCAATACTTCAAACCACTGCAGTGATTCAGCCTGTAATGTCATCTGGCACCATTACATCAAGTTTGCTCAAATGCTAAATGACAACAGTTTTGTCTATCAACATGACTGCCATAACATTTGGTCTACATGGTCTGAAGTTGATCTGAGTCAAATTTGGTGAAGATTGGACCAACGGTCTAGGAGGAGTTACAAAAAAATGGTTTGAACAAAATTAAAACCTCGGACAGGAAGTTTGTCAGATTATAGCATAATTGGTATCTGTGTTGTCGGCATGACCCAAAGAATAATTTGATACCAATTTCATCAAAATAAGCATATGCAAGTCAAAATTTATAACCAGATTTGTAAGTTTCATTAAAATTAGCTAATGAATGTCTTGTAACTCTTGACCCAAAGGTAGCACTGTCATCATATTTGTTTTGATGTGGAAAGTGTGAAGCGACGACAGACCTTTGGTGTCATTATCTTTAACTATAGCAGAGATACAGCCTCAGATGTAGTTTGGTATCATGCATTCATTTATTTGGCCATAGGAGAAATGGTTGTGCTCAACTGAGCCTGGTTTCTCTTGAGGTTTTTTAATTCTTTACTTTTGCCAATTGGTGAAGTTTTTTCCTTGCCGCTGTCGCCACTGGCTTACATAGTTCAGGATCTGTAGAACCCCTGTATCAAGGGATTTGCTCATCAGTTTTTGGATTCTCATAGTGATTATTAAAAAACCCTAAACTGAGTTAAATTGAACTGAACTTCAACACTGAAAACTGGACTGACACTGTTTCAATTTATTATAATCTTCTATGTAAAGCTGCTTTGACACAATTTACATTGTAAAAGTGCTATACAAATAAAGGTGTACAAAAAAATTGTCTGTACTGGAAACAAAAACCCATACAACTATCGACACCAATTAAGTAACTTTTTGTCAACATGATCTGAAGATGATCTGGCATACCAAATTTCATAACAATTCGACTATGCGTCTGTAAAATATAGCAATTTTTGACATAATTCAAAATGGCCGACTCCGAAAATGGCTGAACTGGGATAATCAAGCATCATTTCACTCGGATGTAAAGAAAAGTTTGGACCAAGGGCTGAGAAGTTATGAGCAAAAACGATACTTTGTATCTCTGGACCACTAAGGGAAAGTGTGCTGAAACACTGAAGGTAATTTCAGACCATAGTTGTGATAACACACACTAAGTTTGGTGTGAATATGTCAATGCAATACGAAGATACTGCCTCAAGTCCATTTACGCAACATCTACATTAAATTTAAATGCAAGTTAATTGAAATTAATTGGTCCAGTCAACTTGAATTCAATCACTTTTGGTCAGCATGGTCTGTAGCTCTTGTGATTCAACTTTGGTAAAAATCGAACATATGACCTAGGACAAGTTCATTCAAATAGGTTTGCAAAAAATTCGAAGTAGCGAAAAAATTGTTATGACGGAAAATTATGTCATAAGTGTGTTTAAATCGGCTTAAGCCGAGGAATCAGTGGAATAAAGAATTTTGATTGTTGCTCATCCGATTAAAAAGTTATAACAATAAACCTAAGTGAAACTTTGGACAAGTGGTGGCGCTAGAGAGTTAGAAAGTCCAAATTTGTTTTGGTTGATGATCAGACTGTCCTCTATCAGTGTGCCAAAGTTTGTGTAAATGCTGCAAACGGTTCATAGGGCTGCTATAGACTCCCTGAGAGGAAGAAGAAGAAGAGGAAGAACCCAGAAGAAGAAGAATAAGAACCAGAACGAATAAAATAGGTCCCTACACACCTTCGGTGCTTGGCCCCTAAATATCCGTATTTTGTAATTAATGGTGTTTTCCATTTATTTACAGGTTGAATTGCATTATGGCACAATGCTTAAAGTTTTCAAAAATTGTCTTCAAATGACATTTGTGTTGCTTTGAAAATTGTCATTTATGTTAATTTCATAGCGTTCATTTAAATTAAAAAGTGTGTCATATACCATGAGTATTATACCTCTCTAAGTGTGGCAAGAGTCTTCTTATCCATGGTGGCCTGTTTCTGCAGGTCTTTGTTCTCTCTCTCCAACTCTTTGAGTCTTCCTGCAGCCTCTTTAACTCGGCCTAACTCTTTACTGAGAGCTGTGCCTTCCTTCTCCATGCTGGCTAGCCTAAGACAATTCTCTTCCAGCGCCGCCTCCTTCACCTCCAACTGCTGCCTGAACCTCCGCGCCTCCTTCTCCAGCTGCTTTTTCTCCTTCTCTAGCTGGCTCAATTCCTGCTCCATTCCTCGATTCTCCTTCTCCAACGTTTCAGCCCACGTCACCTTCTGCCTCAAACCCTCTAATTCTCGCTGCAGATCCTTCATTTCTGCCTCATTCTGCCTCAGTTCACTTTCTAGACCTTGCATTTTGGTGGAGCTGTTCTCCAGAGTCTGTTGCAGCCGTTGGTTCTCTAGACTCAGGCTTCCACAGCTCTTCTCTAGTCTTTCACTCCTCTTAGCCTGAGAACGCAGCTCTTCCATCGTGCGGCACATCTCCTCGTGTTCTCGCTCCAGCTCTGCATGTTCCTGCTGTAATTGAGCCAAGCGTGCAGCTGCTGGACGGAGGGTCTCCAATGCACGACGCTGCTCCAAGTTCTCCTCCTCAAGTTGCTGGTGATCCTTCTCTAAAACAGCCAGACGCAGGGTGGCATTCTGTGCAGTGTCGGCCAACTTCTTGAGTCTGCGATTGTCTTGCTCCAGAGTGGCATTCTCCCGCTCCAAGGCTTCGGCACGCTCGCTTCCGATCTTCAAGGCTGCTGCTTCCCGTTGTAGCTGCTCCCGGACTCTCTCTAGACGAGGAACTTCCCTTTCCAACTCCTCGCATCGCTCTCCTCTTTCGCGGAGAGATTCCAGCTCTTTAGTCACTTGACGTTTCTCAGCTTCCAGACGAGCTAGTTTACCACCCGTTTCAGAGATAGTCTGATGCAGAATGCGGTTTTCTGTTTCCACCTCCCTCACTCGGGCCTCGCTGTTTGCCTGAGCCCGCTTCCGGAGGGAGCTCACGGCCTGGGTCAGGTGCTCCTTCTCCTGTTCCAACTCTGAGATCTAATATCCCAAACAAAAATACACATGGTGTTAATGAAGCCATTCAAATATGATCATCATTATCATTGGATGTCTTTTCGATTGTTACAATACCAGTGGTAAATCAATACTTTTTAAATTGACACTTAAAAAAGGACCTACAAAAAGACACTGGATGAACTTTAAGAGCTCTATTTTAGCGATCTAGGCGCAAAGTCCAAGGCGCAGGGCGCAAAAGCATTAAGGGCGTATCAGAATCCACTTTTTTCTATTTTAAGGATGGAAAAATCTGCTTTGCGCCAAAGCGCATTGTCTAACAGGGTTGAGCTTATTCTCTTAATGAGTTGTAGGTGTGTTTGTGCTTTGAGTGTCATCTCCCATTTAAGAGTCAGTTGCGTCGCACCTTAGCGCATTTGCTATTTACATGGCATACTTTATAGGTGGAAAAACTGAGCACTTCACTAGCGAGAAAACAGACCATCTGCAGCACAAGAAGAGACTTTAGACCTTCTCTCAGCTGGTCTATTGCGCAGTCTATTTTAGTTCTATTTTAGAATTTCTCTAGTTTCATTATTTCCTTTTTTTAAAAAAAAAAAAAAAAACACCTCTCCTGACCATCTTCATCAGATTGTTTAAAATGCTAAATTACAAATCACATTCACTACAAATATTACATTTGTATTACAAAACTACTCAAAGCTGCGTATACATCATATGTACAGTTAGTACAGTTTTTTTTTAATTAATTTCAAATTTATTTGATTTAGGGATGGCCTAAACTTTTTATTATTTCTTTTGGTCAAAAGAGAAAAAGGCTAAAAATATGAGCCAGAAAAAAAGGCTATGCTGTGCCGCACTGTCTAGCAGTGTTCATTCCGCTAGTTTTACTCCCCCTCCAGCTATTTACTTGTAAGTGTGACGTCACGTGAAGTTCCAAGCCCTATATCAAACTGTATGGGGAGACTCATTAAATGGTAATAAACATTTATAAAGTGATATAATACTTTCGAAAATCATGATCGCAATATATATTTCCATGCCTAATATCCGATGGCAAGAAATTGATTTTTTATTTTTTTTTATATATTGTTAAAATGTTGGTATTTGTGATCCAGCAACCTATAGAATTTTGTAAACACAATAATTTGATATAAAATTCAGTTTAATGTGTGATTAAATAGTCATAATCTATGACTAAATAGGGGCCATAACCAAATAATTTCTCAATTCAAATGAGTACCGGCTTGGACCCTTAAACAGTGTTCCATACGTCACCGATACGCCACAACTTAAGCGAATAGTCACTGTGTGGAGTCAAGCAGCTTTCACACCAGATGCAGAAAGCACTGCACTATGAAACCCATTCCTTTCAGTGGCTTGTAATGTTTTGTTTCTGCACTGAACAAAGTGCAAGAGCAGTGAGCGCACCGTCAACTAGCTTGTGCAAACATCAGTTTCAAAGATCACTAGAAAAGCAAAGTTCACTGAAATAACACACCAAAAATACATTTCTATGTAGTATACTTGTTCCTGCTGCCTGCCATAGCCCTACTGTGCAGTGAAAGCAACACTCGTATAAATGACACCTCTTAACTCTTTGACAGTCAATAAAATGCAGTTATATATTTTTATCAATATGTTTCAAGTTAAATTTAGAAAGAGTTACAACATTACATTTTATTATTGATGGAAATATAAATAGTTATTATTAAGCATTTTCGGTTTCAGTTTTTATTTAAAGTGCATCGAGAGTTTTAGATTTCAGGCCCATTTTCTTTTACTTATAGGTTACTGACAGAAAATGTAGCTTATTGATGTCTTCATATACAGTACAGAAGCATGTTTTCGAGTCTTGACACAGGTCTATGATTTCAATCAACAACAGAGGCATTTAAGTTGCAATCAAAGTAGACATTGGAAAAACAGTCTTACTAGATACCACTTAAGTTGATACCATATTATACCCCTTATCATCATGGGTTTACTTGTCTTTCTTTAGATGTTCACCTGTCTATCTTTCTCTGCCTGGATTGTCTCCAAAGTTTTCTCCATTCTCTGTTTCTCTTTTATTAGCTCCTCTCCAAGGTTCTCCATGTCCTGAGTTGTCTGTTTCTCCTGGTCCAACTGGGACTGCAGACGCTCCAACTAAAACACAACACAGATGAGCATTCAATATTCGTTAGCATTCAATATTCTGGCTCTCAGTCAACAGTAAAATAAATATAGAAATGTACCTTCTTGCTGAGGCTTTGGTTCTCTTTCTCCAGCTCCAGTGAATGCAGCTGACCTTCCTCCATGTTGATGGAGGCCTCTCTCAGTTCCTGAATGGTGCTCTGAAGGCACTGGTTTTCCTTCTCAAGCTTCAACAGTCGGCTGGATGCGGACTCGTTCAGCTCAAACACAAATGACTTACGGGCTGTAGTTGGAGTGACAAAAAATTATGTTATTCTCTTTATTCTCTCTTTTAATTTACCTTTTGTTTTAGTTAAGTTGTTTTTCTTTTTTATTTGAGTAAAAATATATAATAATTAATACAAAATGATTATTGATTGTGTTCAGCACTTTTGAGTAATGCTGTGTTGTGTAAAAAAGTGATCTATAAATAAACTACAACTACTACTTTATTAGCAAGAGACCAGGAACTGAGATAAAATAACATATAAAAATATTAAATATAATTATTTACAATTAATAAATAATATTTTATTAAATTAGATGTTAAATTATCAACATGTCCTCCATCAGTCAGGAGCAAATCTATTCTTTAGATCTCAAAAATGGATTAAAAAGGGATTAATTGCGAACATAAATAGCAATTTTAAGGACAAATGCCAATTAATAGTATACATGGGTTAACCTCAAAAAAGGTGACATAAAAAATGTTACGTCAAATTAGAAATGATGATCTCTGTGTTAAAGGCATTCACCCCAACCCTCTCCATCATTCTCACTCTCCTCTCATTTGGAACTGCTCTGAACTTTGGCCCGTAGGCCCTACTTTGGGCATCTAAACTACTGCCACACTGAAAGACATTTTATAGGATGTCTTTGTAAATAGTAGTAAAAAGGAATTATGGTCATCTTTTTGCTTAAAATATAATTACTGTAAAGAAAGCACATCTAATGCACAGGAAAAGAGAAAGCTATATTACACCTGCATTGTTTTTTTGCTTAAAATCCATTGGCTGATAAGGCAGACAAATGCTGATTCCCTTATTCATTACCATCAAAACAATATGCATCTGTCCTGTACACACACACCTAACGGCTTACAAACAGCCTGAGGCTAGTGATATTTCAACTACCTGTTCTATCAAAGCAGACGGCTAGTAAACTCTAGTAAATCGGCTATTTGTGTCTGCTTAATGTTTAAAAAAAAACTTCAGATTCAAAGGTTTTTTCAGTAGAAAATGAGCGTTTGTTTAATTTGCATGACCAAAACGGCCAGAATGTCTTGTGGCTGAATATTTGCATCGGTATGGATTCTTAAAAACAAAAACAACAACTGAAAAAAGAAAATAGGTCATCAGTTATCTTACTTTCTAAAGGGTTCTGTATTGGTTTAGTATAACAAACATGGAAAAAAAAAGAGATGTTCTCTCAAACTGAACTTCTGTCTGACAGCGAGGTGTGGTGACTCACCTTCATTGACCTCATTGTTCTTGGCTAGTTGCTCCAGTTCCCAGCCAAGGTGAGCAGACTCGTTCATACTTTGTTTCTGAGAGATCTCCAGCAACATGTTCTCCTCCAGCAGCTCTTCCAGACGTTTCTTATCACTGTCCCTGTCCTAATACAGACACAAGAAAAATCAAACACTTGTGGATTTGAAAAAATACAAATTCACTGGCAGTTTTTTTTTCTCTATAATAATGCACACAAATTATGACCTCAATTTTAAACTGCACACATTTGCATGCAAGTCAATCCAGCATGGTTGCTATGGTGTTCCCAGTGTGCAGTTTTATGTGTTTGCCTAGGCATTCTAGAATGTGTCTATGGTGCATGCTGGAGCATTGCTTTGGAGTTCCTATGGTGATTCAGATAGTCCCTAGCATGCAGTGTATTCTGAGGTCACCATTGCATTGCTAAACATGTTGTTCTAGTGTAATAGACTTTTACTTGTACAATTACTAGTAACTTGTACAATTTTATCTTTGGGAACACTAAAGAAGGCCAAGAGAATGACAATAAATAATTAATGTTTTCCATCCAGAGTTAGGAGAACAATGGCATTCCTGTTGTTTGTTCCAGAGAACCCTCAGATATCAAGTATTAAAGCTTGCAGATACTTTGGAACATGTCATGCACATCTTGTTAGTAAGAGCATGGCTCCATGAAATCTCTTTTGAAAGCCAGAGGGCGCACTCATGCAGGTAATCCAAACACCCACGAAGAAGAAACCCAGGAAATCTCCATAAACTGCATTCACTGATTCAGCATGTCTAATAATCACACGACTGCTGAATTATCTAACAGAAGTACTTATTTCAAACCCTCGACTGAAATATGTTAGATTGGGTCGCACACCAGACGAGAAGCCTATCTTTTCTATTAGTTTGCTAAGTGCAAGTGCCAGTGTCTTTGGCAAATAGAAAACAAAATTAAATTGTAGCACAGCAAAGTGGTGATTTTCATGGAGAAGCCTGTTTGCCAGATGTTTATGAAGCTGTTAACCAAGCCAACGGTCGGCCATTGGGCTTCGTCTGTTCGGCTAGTTGATTTGGTATGTTTGGTAGCCACCATCGTTGTGTTTAGGGGTACATCACAGCAATGTGACACATTTACTACTCTGCCTACTGTAGCACAGAGATGTTGAAGTGTTCAAAACGCCTTTTTGCCCTCAAATGAAGAACAAAAATTAACTTCATTTGAAGTACACCAGAACCATAACACTCACAATTTCTATATCATGCAGTTTGGAGCGCAGCTGAAGGTTCTCTTTCTCCAGTTCGTGTAGTTTGTCACAGCGCCCTCTGGCTCCAGTAAGCTGCTCTTCCAGCATGGACTTTGTCTCCAGCAGAGTCAAATTGTCCTCTCTTAGCTCCTGTGCACAAAAGAGAGACAAGAGAGAAAAAAAAATAGAGATGGACAAAAAGAAAAGATCAAAAGAAAATCAGAGGATGACGCCAGCAGACAGAGAGCCAGAGGTCTGTCAGTGACAGCTCCGGGCCCCAGCAGACACCTGAGGCATTATTTCTGAGAAATAAAAGCAGTAGGGGCTCCAGGCAGGCAGCTGTACATCAGTCACCTCAAAAAGAAATCAATTTCTCCCCTTTTGATTTAAGAGCCGGTGGCTAGATTTATGCTCTTTTCCAAAAAATGGCATGGATGCTTGAGTATGCTTTATAATACAATGCTGAAAGAGTTATCAAAATGGAAATGTAATACAGGTTGGTGTTTAGTTACCTCTATGCGCGTCTTGTAGAAATGGACATCATTTAGCTTCTCTTTGAAGCGAGACAGTTCGGTTTCCAAGCGATCCACTTTTCCAGCACGCTCCCTTAGAGAATCAACCTCATCCCGGTATGCTCGCACTGAACGTGCCTCTGCCAGCAACTGTGTGTTCTATACACAACAGACACAGGTGACAATAACTTATCACTAAAGCTTCAAGAAAGTGCTTTTCAATTTCAGTCAGTCAAATATATGAAATGTGAATTTAGGCAAACTAAGAGTCTTGGTGTAATACCTCCTGTTTGAGCTTCTGAATATCAGAATCCAAGCGCTCGATCTCATTCTTGGCATCAATTAACTGCTCAGTCTTCTCTTCCCTGTAACAAGCAAACAGAAGTTTATAATGTTGATACGACTACACAAATGGATGATCCAGCTACTGCTAAGACCAATATATCAAGTAATATTTGGCTGATAAGAAGCAGGACTTTGTATAGTACAATTATAGTATAGTAAAATTTTGTTTAATACAAGTAGGTGAACTGGGTACTTTTGTTTCCACACTCCGAGTACTGATGAATGCTATGAAAATTTGTCACATATAATTTTTTCCCCTTCAATATAGTAGGACAGTACGAAACTTCTAAAATTACCATTAGGTACTTATCGAGTACTTTGCAACCACTAAAAATATGCATTCTGTATAATACGTTTATAGTAAATTCTATATAGCGTTGTTTCACTCTTATTCCCAAATTGCTTAGTAGTAACCCTTTAAGCAATTCTGTGTTCAATACACTACTAATAGATGTATAAACATAAATGACTAGGCAAAAAGAAAGACCAAAGTTGGGCTGTCAATAAAAGTCTAGTAGACATCTAAGAATAACTCAAAACTAGACTAGTCTATTTACACAGATTAGACATAGACCTCACATGTGTAGTCATTCATTCTTGTGTACTTGATAAATAGTCTAGTTTTGGACTGTTGCTAGATGTTTTCACTTACAGCTCAAATTTATTTGTTTTAACCAAGACGACTATGTTTAGACATCTATTAAAACTATTTTAAAACAAAATTGCTTGCTGGTATAAAGTCATCCATATACATTGTTGGTTCACTCTGGGTACTCTAGAGTATACTCACACTTTATTTGACCAACAGCGTAGTTTAAAAGCTACAATTTGGGTGCAGCAAAAGAAAATCAAAAAGAGTAACTCACAATTCCTGCCGGGAGCGCCGCAGTTTGGCCTTTGTGTCAGCCAGCTCCACGGCTAAATGCTGACGATCTTCTTTAGACAGCAGGGTGATGGGAGAAAGGGACGTGCGCTCAGGGCTAGGAAAGCCCAAAAGACCTGAAGGCTGCTGAGACTGAAGATAGTCCCTCTCCTGGGTCAACTCTATGACCAGCTGAGGACAGAAAATCTCCATTTAATCAATGACGACAATGTACTGAGAAATTTAGTGCAACTTGCTAATAAATAGTTGATTGACATCCTTCGTACCTCAGCAGACTCATCTCGCTCATCTATGAGTTTGCGTAAGTGAAAGGCCATGGTTCGAGACAGAGGATCCAACTGCTCAGCAGGGATCTCTGCAACCTCCATCCACTGCAGGTCCAGAACATTCTCCTGATTGTGCGTTACCTGCAATCAAGAGGAATTGTAGGCCATAAATACATGCCTCATATGTGATGTACTGTACATAGGAAGTGATTAGCTGCCAGCAGATCCTTACCTCTTGAATATGCGTCACAATTGCAGCCTGTGTCTCAATATCAAGCAGCTTGATCTTCTCAATGATTTCTTCTTTGCGATCACACTGTTGGAAACAAAAAAGCATCAGATTGAGAAAATGTATGGAAAGATTAGTCAAAAGGGATGAGGAAATTATGTGGGGGAAAAAGAAAATTAGAAAAAGAAAGAAAGAAAAGCAAAAAAGGATAAGGGAAAGAAAAGTCAAAGGAGGAAGTCAGCAGATACAAAGGTTAAAATAAACCAATGGAAAGCGGAGAAAGGGGAAAGAAAATAGAAATAAAGAATGGAAATTAAAATTGAAAACAGTGAAAGCAACAGCGAATCTTAATATGCAGTAAAGCTAATGGAAATGGGCGAATGAAGGAAAGGAAAGAGAAGGAGGGAAAAAGAAGGGCAAGGGAAGAAAATGGAAGGGAAGTAAATGGAAGTTAATAAGGAAGAAGAAAAGAAAGAAGGGAAAAGGCTGAAAGAAAAACTAAGAAAAAGGAAAGAGGAAAGGCAATTGGGAAAGAAAACTGAAGGTTTAGAGGAGGAAAGGGTAGGGAAGGGAAGCAGGAAAAGGAAAGTAAAGAAAGTAAAGAAAACAGAGTAAAGTAAAAAGAAAGTAAAGGGTAAAATAAAGGAAAGTAGAGGAAAGGAAAAAGATGGAAAAGGGAAAGGCAATTGGGAAAGGAAACTGAAGGGGAGTGTATGAACGGAAAGGAGGTGAAGAGAAGGGAAAGGAAAGAAACTAGAAGGAAGGACAAGGGAAATAAAAAATAGAAGGAAAAGGAAAAGGAAAGGGAAAAGGGAAAATGAAAGGGCAAAGGCAAAGGCAATTTGAAAAGGAAACTGAATGTTTAGTGAAGGAAAGGGAATGGAAAAGGCAGAGAAGAATAAAGAAGGGTGGGAAGAAGAAAAATGGAAAGAAATTAAATAGAAAGGGAGAGAAAGTAAAAGGGAAAATAAAGGAAAGTAGAGGAAAGGAAAGGAAAATGATGGAAAATGGAAAGGCAATTGGGAGAGGAAATCGAAGCTTAGTGAAGAAAGGGAAAGACACTTAAAGGAAAGGGTGTGGGAAGGAGGGAAAGGGAAAATGGAAGGGAAGGAAATTAAATAGAAAGGGAAAAGAAACGGGGAAAAAGGGAAGTGGAGGAAAGGGAAATGATAGGAAAAGATTGGGAATTGGTAATGGAAATTGAAGGGTACTAAAGAAACGGAATGGGAAGGAGCAAAAAGAAGGGAAAGGAAAGAAAATGGAAGGGAAGAGAATGGAAGGAGAAGGGAAATAAAAAGAAATAGAAAAAGAAAGGGAAAGAAAAAAAGGAAAAGCAAAAAAAGAGAAGGGAAAGGGAGTAAAGGGAAAGGAAAGAAAATGTAAAGAAAGGCAATTGGGAAAATAAATTGAAGTGTTGAAATGTAAGTAGTGAAGAAAAGGAAATGGAGGGGAAAGTGGAAAGTGGAAAAGGAAAGAAAATATAAAGGAGGAAGTGAAAGAAATGAAATCGAAAGGTAAGGGAAAATAAAAGGGAAGTTGAGGAAAGGAAGAGGTGGAAGGGAATAGGAGGAAAGTGAAAGGAAGGAAAGGGGAAGGGGAAAGGCAATTGTGTAAAGGAAATTGAAGGGCAGAGAAGGGATGGAAAAGAAATCAACGGAAAGGAAAGAAGAAGGGTAAAGAGAAAAGCAGAGAAAGGATATAATGCAAAAGGTGAAGGAACAAAAAAGGGAAGTGAAAGATGAAAGGCTATGGGAAAAATAAAAGGGATGTGAAAGGGATAATACAAGTAAAGGTAAAAGAACAGGAAGAATAAGCAGAAACAATTATTCATCAATTCATTCATTCATTTTCATTTATTCATAATTACATTTTCATTTCGGCTTAGTCTCTTTATTAATCCGGGGGTCGCCACAGCGGAATGAACCGCCAACTTATCCAGCACGTTTTCAACCCATCTCTGGGAAACATCCATACACACTCATCCACACTCACACATTTTAGCCTACCCAATTAACCTGTCAGAAACAATTAACTATCCTTATTTTTTAGTAAGCACTGCCAAAAAATCCATGACTATCACTTGATGGTCATTAGCCAAATAAACCTATTCTGTGCCATATATGAACTCATCAAAATGTAGATATACAGTATATTCAAATGGGATAAACAATGTGTTGTGCACTTTGTGACTGGAATACTATAAGAGAAAGTTCTGGTGCAGGATAAGACAAGCTCAAAGAGACAGAACAGAAAGCAAATCAGCAGGTAAATGGTGCGCTCTAAATCAATGGGAGATGTTTATTATTAACAGAACAAGAAAAACCAGCCACAAAGAGGGGGTTAAAAGTGTACAATAGAGGAAGTACAGGCATGAGGAACAATCTTCAGGAAAAGGTGGAGACAAAACTTCTTGGCAAATCTATCCCAGTTATCTTTGCTGAATTCTCTGGGACAAATCTTTTCTGAATAGGTGTTTTATTTTGAAGCATAATGAGCGTCTGTTCTTTTTACTGTGGAAAAGCAAAGGCGTGTCTGGGCTTGATGATGTGGATATGATTTCCTGTACTGATCTCACAACATGAATCGGGGAATACTGGTGCTGGTTCAAAAAGCCTACCTGAACAGCGCAGCCCAGTATCAGCAACAGCATTCGTTTCATCTCCTCCATGCTTTTACCTGAGAAGATTAAAAGTCATAAGAAATGAGAGCAAGAAATTAGATCTACCACTAAAACAACAGAAATAAAACAAATAACTTTAATTTAGCATAAAGCTGATACAAAACCCCCAAACTTCAAGCAATAGTGAAATAACTTATGATTTTGCCTTTACTAAATGAATATTCAGCATTTTAATTGGTAACTAAAATTACTTAAAATGGATTAAAAATAACTGTATACATTACTATATATATATTTACAATAAAAATACTAGATATTCATTTAAAACTAATGTTAAAAACAAAATTCTAAAAATAATGTTCAAATAAAATGCTAAATGTATAGTTATTATAAAAAGGAATTCATTGAAGTTATTACTAACTGCCCAAAAACAAAACTAAACTAAATGAATAATAATATTAATGAACAATAATAAAAACATACAATTACTTAAATGTAAACTTTCCAAACATTAATAAACACTACAATATTACAGAAAACTAAAATAACATAGATATTTATTGATACTGAAGTACTAGTAACTCAAAATATGGATATCAATCTGCTTGAGGATATTTACAATAGCAGTACTAGCCATAATATTTTGGTGGAAACTAGTGATGGTTATTCTGATTAATAAGCTTATTTTGTATTAATGTTTTGAAGCTGTTGTTGGCGAGTTTGTTTGTGTCTTACAGACTTAGACTAATAAATACTCTGGAGAGAGTGGAGAGGGGGTGCTATCGCCACGGCAACTGTTTGTTACTCAACACCACCCCACCCTACAGTGAACCCCCTTTACACCGTCAGCAGAGGAGCAGCCGTGGGGAAATCACTCCTTTGTCCACTACAAGTGAAGCTTGATGTAAAAACACAAGCATTCGAAAGCTAATCCTTGCATTAACTCTAGATAAGAAACTCTTCCACTGGCAGATTAACAAAACTACATTAAAAATGTTGAATGTGCTCTGTGAAATATGGTCATAATGGAGTAATTTTCAGCAGAAACATTCTTTCTTTACAATGTTTCATAATTAAATGTATTCACAAGAAATTAAGCTCAATTATTAGTAAAATTAATTAATTTTTCTAATATTTTCCCAGTGATATTTAAAAACAGAGAATGAGTATTTTATATAATGCCTTTTTTCTGCTAGAGAAAGTATTATTTATTCTAGTTGGGCTGGAACAAAAGCAGTTAATTTAAATATATGTATATTTATTAAGGTCAAGATTATTAATCCCTTTTAGATGTTTTTCCCAATTAAATAATAACTTTATAATAGTAATTATCAGGCGATAACTTAACCTATCTTTCATTTTAATACTAGTCACCTTTTTAAGCCTTTACATAGCATGTTAAGCTGATCCTCAGTATTCTACAATCCTACAGATTTTTATTGATGCTGAAGGACTAGTGACTGGCATTTGCACAACTCAAAATATGGATCTTAATACTGCTACAATAGCAGTAGCTGTAATATTTTGCTTATTCTGATTAATAAGGTTATTTTGTATTAATGTTTTGAAGCTAATGTTGGCGAGTTTGTGTCTTTTGAAGCCTTTAAATTGCATGGTAAACTGATTCTGAGTATCTTACAAAAGAACTAGTATATATTATATATGGTCATCATGATAAAGGCAAAATAAATTATCTACAGATTTTAAGCCTGTCAACGAGTCTATTTGTTTAGTTGTGTGTAAATGTGTGTAAATATATATTTATTTAGTTTTTTAATTAATTTCAGTAATATTACTGACTAATACAAAAAGGTTCATATGATTTACTTACAATACAGTCTATAAATTAATCATTTCTGCCATTTAGTAGATATATTATACGAGACACTTGCGAGACACTTGCTTCGTTTACCAAATAAACGGATCTAATGTGATTTGTATTTTAAACATTAAATAAAAGTTAGAAATGTATAATTTTTTTATTTAACATATTAAGTTTTTAGTAACGATACACCCAAAATCATTCCGCATAAATACACAGATTTTTTAATAATATTCTGTAAAAATAGCAAAAAATGTCCACAGATTCTGTCTGGCCCAAGTTATTAGTAATTATTGTTGAAAAATGTTTTGAAAAAAAAACAGCAATTGGGACATTTTTATAAAAGAATTAAAATTTCACAGGAGGGCTCATAATTTTGCTTCTTTTAACTGCATATTAACATATACCCAGCAGTTTCCAGCAAAAAAAAAGGGAAAAAAATGAATCTCAGCCAGTTTTGATAACCTATCACAAGTAGAAAATTGACGCCATGACTACAATAAGGATTCATTTTTTGCATGCAAAACCATTTAACAGCATCCAGTAGGAAGCAAACGTGAGCAGAAAAGGAAATCGTGTACACACAGTACACACGTTCATAAATGAAAATCTGCAGATCAAAATCACACCTCGCTATAACAAAGACCTGTTATTCGTGTCTGATGGTGGCAACATTTTGCATTATAACAGGACACCAAGAGAAATGGTCAGGTGTCAGGATCACCCAATAGAACAACTTGAAATGCAAACAGTAAAAAAATACTGTTAAGCATTACATGCACATTTGGTATATTTCAATAACTAACGTGCCCATTTCAAGATTTAAAACAGCAAACAACCTTGTCAACTATTAGAGTTTTTTTCACCACAATTTGCTACCATTACATTACTTATATGTGGGTCAAAGATGGGATGTGCCATTTTAATGTCAACATAAATTAGAATTTACAAAAAATATTCCCTAAACAGATTGCATATTGAACAAAAGTGTCTACTTTAACGATTCAAAAAACGGGTTCAATAATTTTCCATTGTCAACTAATATATTTCTGTAAAAATGAAGCAGCATATATATAAACCATATAGCATATACTTAACAATAATCTTTTAATGTAGTCAAATCATTTGTTATTTAATATAAATAAATAAAAACATTTTAGAGATTGTCTGCTGAAAAATTACACTAATGATCTATCATAATCATCATGTTTAGTTCAAAAGCAAATTCAACAGAACATATTAGCAGTCCTAATTGTAGTTGTGTTACCCTTTTCTAATTTGGCCTATAGACCTTTTTCATAGAACACAAAATTACCCATTATGCTTTGCGTGTATGCGTAAAGAGGATGCTAAGAACTTCCGGTCAGCAGCTTGATGCGTATAAACATTAGGACAGCTTTGAAATAATAATTTTAATCTATTTGACCTGCTTTCAACATCTTTAAACTAATACTGCTGCTGATCAGTGCCATCTCCTGGACTGATTTTCAAAAAAATATATATTTTTTAAACATAAGCCATGATAAGTAAGCCATGGTATTGACATCCAATTTAGGATGGAGATTTACCAACTGTAAATGTTGTAAATGGAAGTTCTAAGCATCCTACCGGAAGGCGCTGGTCGCTATGGCACCCTCCATGAAGCAACAAAAAAAGGTCTGTATTTAAAATAAATGCATCTTACCAGCACTCTGCAATATCTGATTCTGATTAGTCATTTGTCTATGCATTAAATAGAACAAAGAAAATCGTAACAATTCATTTAGTTGCTCTACTCTACACACTGTCAACAGCAGGATCTACAGTCAGCATTCATTGTTGGGCTCGGTCCCAAGAAGTTTCCTCTGGCCTTTCTTCTTTCCTCCAGCCATTACAAGGTCCACAGCACGTGTTTCCTTCCCCCGAGAGTCTGAACCTTCTCTGCTCACCCCATATAGGAGGTGAGAGGGTGTTTATGAAGGCTGGAGTGTGCGTGTGAGGTGATGAATGAGGAGGTTTGTTCAGTATGTGTGTGCGTTTTGCTTTGGGGCATAATGGAAAGTGATTTATAGTCACCATAGAGGAGATGCATCGCACAGATAGAAAATATAAGTAGTGAGGCAGGCTATGAAACATTTTAACAAATATTGACAACCAATTATTAACCAAGCGACATGCTTTTTAAATGCATGAGCAAAATGCATTGGTATTTATTTACATCAAAACAAAATTAAAAAGTGTATCCTCAAAAACAGATTAAATATAGAATAGATTTATCAGAAATTATAATCTTGAACATAAATAATAATAAAAATATGATTTTCAATCTTTTTGTTATGTGAGGGAATTCTTACTGATCAACAGTAGCATCTCTGCTTTCTCACAAGCAATTAAGTTTGTACTGTACTAGCAGTTTAAAACAGATTTGCCGCGATGACAAACGTTCAAGTGAGATATAAGATTTGTTTTGTTAAAACCTGATGCCCGTTCTCCTCCTCTTGAAATCCCTGCTGAAGAGATGCAAATAGCAATGGCACTGTCCTCTGCTGCCACAAGAAGAAACACTTTCTGACCGGGAAGACTTGTTCACAGTTTAAGTGTGACGCAGTTTTAAAGCAACAGCTGCTTGCACTCGAAAGTAGATGAATCTCAGAGAGATCAAACTAAATTTATTAATTTACCAGCAAGCTCACTTTATCAGATATTGTTATCTGAGTTTAATTATTAATTGAAGCAATAAAAATCATGTCATTTATGATAAAAAATCCTGCATCCTTAATAAAAAGTATACTGGTTGTGGGGTAAATCTACATTACAAATGCTTCTATATGGTTGTACAGTATGCAGATAACAGTAGCAATGAATAATTGAATATTAGGGCTGCACAATACAGTATATCCTTACAGCATCGATATCGCTATGTGAGCATCTGCAAGTTACATCACAATTTAAGCAATGTTGAGACTGAATTACAGTTAGGAGCTACAAAATTGTTTTTAATTACTGTATTTATACAGAATTTATATGATTTATGTAAAATCAATGTGTGCAAGCGGATGGCTTAAACACATTTAATCAACATATACATATTGATAAAAAAAATCTAAACTGCTAATTTTCATTATCACGCTGATGATACAATCATATACACCGCTGCATTTACACCAAATCTGGCCCCTTCTCAACTACAGATTGTTTTTAATTTACTTCAACATCCGAGTTAAAATAAGTTTTAAATGCAGATAAAACAAAGCGTGTGTTATTTTCAAATTCAAAACAAACTAAGCAAAGGCTGGGTTCTATTACTACTACTTATGGTGCCGAGATTGAATTGGTGTCCCAGTACAAAGATCTTGGAATTTTTAGTGATGATACATTTTCTTTTAGTTCTCACATTCAGTGATTAGTGAAAAAAGTGATTTTAGGCTTTTATTTTAATAAAAACTGCCTTTTTTATGCTAAAAAGAAGCGGGTTGATGCAATTTTTATGTCGATATTGGACTACGATGATGTTAGCTATATTCATGATTTGTCTGCATGAATTGGATACTGTTTATAACTCATTTTAAATCCCTTGTCATTGTGTGTCATACATCATACTAGAATAATACTATATGGTAGGTTGGTCTGCGTAGTCTATTCGTAGGCTCAAGCACTGACATATCTTTGTTTACAAATCTATATTGGGTTTACTTCCATCATATCTACAGAATTACATTTGTAAAACACCTGTTCCTAGCTATGGCCTTAGGTCACAGGATATTTATTTACTGTCTGTTCCTAAAGTGCGGACTGAGATGGGGAAAAAAGGTTTTTGAATGCGCAGCACCGTTTATATGGAATAATCTACAATGTTGTAGTTTAAAGAATTGATTTCACTAAATGCTTTTAAAAAGAGTATACATGATTTAGAAACTGAAACAGGCTTGTATATGTTCTGAATAGTTTGCTTGTCAATGTGTGATTCATGTCAATTGTTTTTTGTTTGTTGTCTGTTAGACCCATATGACATGTATACTGCCAAATCTTGGCCAGGACGCTCTTGTAAATAAGATTTTACAATCTCAGTGTGTTTCCTGGTATCTCAATCTCTTTCCTGGTAAAATAAAGGTTATAATAATAATAATAATTATGCAAAAAAAAAAGTATTTCTTACTTAGAATTTTTGTTTTGTTTCTATTCCAAATATCTGCAAACATGATTATTTTACTTACAGCATTTGCCAATAATTTTACTTGTTTTAAAGGGGAAAAAATATATGTATTTTTTTATTTCTTCTAAGTTGAATACAAAACTATTTCTTACTTGATTTAAGAATTCTTAGATATCAGGACTATTTAAATTCTGTACCTAAATACTCTTAGACTCCTCAGAAAATCGTCAAAAAGAACCATTCAAACCACGGAGAGACACTGTATTCACATTGCAATATTTATCACAGAAAAAATAAAGTATCGTAATATCTACTTTTTTCTAATATCGTGCAGCCCTACTGTATATGTTATTATTTTTACAACATGAACATTGTCATTAGGAATATCAACTACCTTTTTGGATCAGTGTTAAGCTTTCTTATTTAAAACTTAATATATCAAAATAAATATCTATTCTTTTGGTTTGTTGTCATATATCTGTTGAGTAAACAAATAAAGACATTGGACACAAATGAAGTATTTGTAGAAAAGTCAGCATTAAATTCTCCTTTGTCGTCAAACCAGAAAGGATTCTACTTTGTAGATTAATCTAGTAGCTTATTAACAAAATTAAATTTGAGAAATACCTGATAAAGGGTCCTTGGCGATGGCCAACACATTGGGCAGGTTCATAACGATGAGCTGCTGAAGATGCTCCTGAGAAAGAAAAAAACATGCAGATTATAAACAGGGAGACATGTTGGAGGCTATTTAAGTGTATAGTGGTTCCACCGTAAAAGTTTAGGCTAATATGTACAGTAAAAAAAAAAACAACAGGTGAAGGGCAAATTTGGCACAGCTCAAAATGGCGGGCAGCCCAGGAGATGGCTGGGTGTCAATATTTGGGGCGAGGACCCAAAACAGGTCAGTGGTAACGTGGGAACAGGAAACTCCTACTTTCAAACAGACAGGCAGGAAATCAAGCTGGAAAGGGGAAACATTAGCAGCCCCAGACAAGGCATGTCTTGGGAAGGGAACATCCAATTCTAGCATACAGGCAAAATAAGAACATGGCAATAATGACTCAAAAAGAGAAAATTATCATGCGGAATTGACATTTACATAATCACTAAATTAAAGTGATAATAATAATATCTATATGAAGAACTGAATAATATTGAGAATGTGCGTGTGCCCTGGTACCATTAAACTTGACTTCAGACACAATGGCCTCCAGGGTAACTAATCTCAGTAAAGTACACAAAAGACAAGACCGAACAGGTCCACCTGACCAAACCCATCATTCCAAAACATACCTAGATAAGAGCACTTTCATCCGTTAGAGAACTGCATACTTCAACAATTGTTTCTGTGCAACAGACAAGACACAATTTTTTTTAAATAATTTCTGAAATTTCTGAACGCTCAACCATCCTCTCCCAAAGATCTTGTAGAGAACATGTAAATAATTAGTTGATTTACACACGAAACATACACGTATATTTCACTCCTAGTATGATTGCTGTGTTAAAGTAAAAAAGTACAAAAGCATTTTTGTGGGATTTCATTTTGCTTCATCTGGCTGTGAACAATCAAGACTGTGCATCTGCAAATGTAGATATACATATATGCATTCATCTCGCATTTCTGCAGCACATTATTTTACTAAATTAATTAGATAAACAAGACAAAGAAGGAGTAAGCTCACACAGCAAAAATGTTAAGACCCTGCAATATTAGCTTTAATACAAAAAACACATTCCCACCATTATGACATCTTGGAAAACTTTGACTATCTGGCAAATATGGCAACATGACTGGAGTGGTCTGTGGCATTATGTCTATATATCTATAAGAAAACTTAAGAAAAAGAGAAAACCCTATATATGCCAGATAAAACCCACAGCTTTGCTATAAAAATGGTAAATATTTTGGAGACTCTCTCATGTGTTACGAATACACCTGACGTCCACACTACAGAATCTTCAGCCCGTGAAAATGAAGTGTTTGACAACATTAACAATGCTGGTGGTCTATTTCATAAACAGAATAATGTGTAAACTTTTGAAAATGGAAGTATGACGGTATCCACCATCACTCTCTGACTGGTCTTCTGAACTATTGCGTGTTGTTACCTGGTTCGTCAAGCCCCTCTCATATGACCAATACACAACATAGTAATATATGTTCAATGCCTAATGAGTGTGAATAATGAGAGAGACACACACACACAGCAGCACAGAAACAACTCAATACGCTCTTGCGTAACAAGTCACATATCACATGTTTTAGGCTTTATGGTGAAGACGGAGATTGTTTTTCTTAGGGATTTACTGAATGGAAACCAAATAGTTTGGATGCACTTGAAAAGCCTGAAAAACTAGACTGTCTTAACCATTTTTAGTTTTAATAAAATAATATAATTGTAAGAGTTTTTAAATTTAACTCTAAAACTTGTTAGGATTATACTGATTTAAAAAAACACAAGCCAATAAAATAGCCACATTAATGACAGTGAACAAGGTGAAAAGCTTCATTTTTACCAGTTTTGCCATGACAACAAGGCATCGCTATTGCAAGCAGCAGGACCAAGTATAGCTTACTACATAGAAATGTCATGTAAGCGCATTACAAGTCTTCCTTAAGATTATGTAGCACATTGACAAGTCAGTTTTTAAAGTACGTAGTTTTGCACATCCTATGCTTCCACAAATCAGACTGTAATATGGACACAGTCTACAGAGTACGTGGCTAATGAAAGAGAGCTAACTGCTAACCCATTTGACATCATGCAGCTCAAACCCCCTGCTGATAACTCCATCTCCCTCAGAGGAGTGACTCCCGGGGGAGGTTTTTTTTTGTGTACAGACCAAGAGACACAACCCTCATCCACTATAATAGATCCAGCGCAGCTGAGGCCAGGGCTAGACTGCACTGCCTTTGTCAACACAGGCCTGCAAGGATTCCTTTCTTTACTGCTAAGCTTCACTCACATGCTCATTCACAAACACTGAGAATACTTCAAAAGTAACGAACCTCAAACTGTCCTTTATTGTCTGTTTGGGTCGCAAAAACTTTAAATATGTGCAAGCACAAATACTATTTAGAGAACAATAACATTTTCAGTTTTAGGTGAACTATCACTTAATTCCACTTAATCTGGCTAAGTGGGCCCAGTCAATTGCAGTCAGCAGATGACTGACCAATATTAAAAAGTTGTAGGCTACTTTACTGAAGGTTACATCATTTACAACAAGCATTACTAAATATGTGAGCAATATCACACAAGTAGCAGTGCGATGTGGTTGTATATCAGCACTGGTGGGAAGTGTGCGCTGAAACAAGGCCTTAAAGGCCCGTGCACAGACTATTTTCGCTTGCGTTTTCTGTCGACGTTTAACGCCTCGTGACTAAATAAAGGGCGTCAATGTGATTGTGCACACCAACGCACAAATCGGCAGGCACAAAAGCGTCATTAAAAAAAAAAAAACGGCTCATGCTCGTTTTTTTGTTTTGACGAGCCGTGTCAAAGCCTTCTCCAGCTATCAGATCGGCACTTTTGTTCACGTGCATGGAGTTGCTGAAGTTACAGTAAACAGCACTTGGAGGCGCTCAAGCACAAAACTGTCAATGCGAGCGCACATTGAAGAAGATGCCCAGAGGCGATATGAACGTAGAGCTGCTTATTGCTCTGTGAACAATAATCATTTCTTCATCAATACAGCTGGAGCTGCTGCTTGAGCCCTTCATACTTGTTCGAGTCACCAGTAACTTCAACGAAAAGTATGTGAACTTCCTCTCCTCCTCTTCTTCTGTGTTATAAGCGGGTATCAGAAGCTTACAGTTGTGTAGCACCATCTAACTTCAAAAAGTGATTTTGCATACTCTTCTGCTTGATGCCAGTGAAAATCATTGGGTTTGAATGTGGAAAAACGTCTCGTAAAACGCTGACGATAAACGCAAACGAAAAGCATCCCGGTGTGTAGGAGCCTTAAAGCTTATTTATACTTTTTCTTCGAGTGCACCTAATGCTACGGTGCTGCCTGGGCATGGTCACATAGCCCTCGCCGACGCGTAGCGCAAGCTCTGTCATTGGTCAGCTTGATAGCACTGACAAGTGTGGGCGGAGGTGAGAGCCACACAAGCCAGATGCAGCGATTGTTTACATGTGTGCAGTCCCATAAAGGAGCTCCAGATGGAAACTGTTGTTTTGTGTTTACCTTTTGATTAAAGTTGTTGCATGTCCGCAGCTTCCCGCCTCAAAATGAGCGAGTTTGAATCACTTGTACATTTAAGGTAACGTTCAGAAAAAACAAAACACCAGTAAAGAAACTCGACACAGAGGAACATAACACCTACTGCCAGCTAGCATTTCTGAAGTGTTATTGCAGAGCAACACACACGTCGCGCAGAAGTATAAATGCAAGGCTACGCACATTGCATGCGCCGTGGGTCACTACAGCATGAAAAAAAAAAGAGAGATCGACTTATTTACCCGTTTAACAATGATTTGATCAGCTGTAGTTTGAATTAATTACGCTGTTTTTCTCTTAGGGCTTATTTTGCGGTCTCTGTTGCCATCTTGTGAATGGACAACGTCAACCGTCTTTGGTCTGTTCAATAACAGGCTAATGGCCACTGGCCAATATCGGACAGCTATCAGTCAATCAGATTCAAGAATCAGACAGAACTGTTGTATAAATACAATTAAAGTAAAAATTATTAGCCCCCCCCCCCCTTTTTTTTTTAATATTTAAATATTTCCCAAATAATTTTTAACAGAGCAAGGAACTTTCCATAGCATGTCTGATAATATTTTTTATTTCGGCTAGAATAAAAAACAGTTTTTAACTTAAAAAAACAAACATTTTAACTAATTATTAGCCCGTTAAAGCATTTTTTTAATGTATATATAGTTCACAGAACAAACCATCATTATACAATAACTTGCCTAATTACCCTAACCTGCCAAGTTAACCTAATTAACCTAGTTTAAATGTCCTGTTTAGAAATGTGCTGAAAAAAATCTTCTCTCCGTTAACAGAAATTGGGGGAAAAAAAACAGGCGGGCTAATAATTCAGGGGGCTACTAATCCTGACTTCAACTGTGTGTTTATGTATATATTTCATGGTTAAATGTATAACATTGGCTGATAAATAGGTCAAAAGCAAAAATAAACATGCAAGATCAAACAATATTAGTCAACAACATGAATTTGAATGATGATAAGGTAGGGATAAAGTACGATAATGTACGCAACCTTTTGTTAAAAAAACTGTAAACAAAAAAGTCTGTTGTCTATTGTCAATAGCGCTGCGATGTACAAAGCACAGTTCATCCCACTGCAAAAACAAGTAACATTATATTAATAGCAATGTCAAATTATTAGCCATGTTAATTCATTTTCAAATGATCTGAAATAAAGAGTTTTTGCTCACAAAACATGCAACAATGAACAACAATAAGCGTGACAGCATCTTTAAACTACGCAATAAACTTTTAGTTTGTTTATTGTATTTTCCTTTGACCAGTTTTACTGTAATATCTCACACTTCACTGAAAAGAGCAGCATAAAAATTCTTCTAAATTTCTAATGCCAATTTTCCACAGAAAGTCATAAATAGTGTCAATGTTCATACATTTTACATAAAATTCTAGGAAATTCTATATAATCCAAGTCTAATATGCATCATTAAATAAACCCACTAGACATTCT